CTCTTCGGGAGCAGCTGGCGGATCGGGAAGCGATGGAGAAGAGCCGGATCAGGAGAGAGGTCCGGGATAAGGAGACAGCTGTGTGGACGAGCTAAGAGGACAGGTGGCCCAGGCGGAGGGGAAGTGGAGGAAGGCGGAGGCGAGAGCAAGAGAGGCGGAGGAAGAGGTGGATCGGATTCGAGATGGGCTGATGGGCCGAGCAGGGAGGGGGGGCGGTGCGGGAGGGGGGGAAGGGGGAGGGGGAGAAGGGGAGGGGGGGGGAGTGGGAGCAATCGGAGGTGGCCCGGGTGTGGGGGAAGTTGAAAGAGGCGGAGGAGAGGGTGAAGGAGGCGGAAGGAGGATGGCGGAGGAGCAGGAAGCTGCGAGGAAGGCGCTGGATGAGCTGGAGGAAGTTACGTGGAAGGTGAAGGGGGGCGGAGGAGGAGGCGCGTAGGGAGAGGGAGAAGCGGGAGAAAATGGCCGAGAAGCTGGCAAAGATGGAGGAAGAATTTGCTGAGAACTTGGGGGGAGGTGGGGGGAGGAGTGGGGGAGCGGGAGGAGCGGGAGGAGTGGGGGGAGCGGGCGGGAAGAATGCAGGAGTTTCAGATAACAGTTCAGGGGCGGGAGAAGGTGGTGGGGCTGGGACGTCAGGAGCAGCAGCAGCAGGGCGGTGCCAGCGCTGGGTTTGTTCTCTTAGCGGAGTCTGCTGTAGAGGAGATGCAGAGGAGAGGAGGCGGAGCTGCTGATGCAGGTGGATCAGCAGAGGGTAATGCTGGAAAGCAAGGGGCAGGAGGTTCGGAAGAAGGAGGCGGAGGTTCGGGCGAAGGCTCGGGAAGTGAGTGCGAAGGAGGAGGAGCTTAAGGCGCTGAAGGCTAAGAGCCAGGGGCTTGTAGGTAAGGAGCAGGAGGTTAAGCGTGTGTGATGGATGAGCTTTTGTTTAAAAACGAGGAGATTAAGAGGCTGGAGAAGGACGTGGAAGGGAAGGAAGAGGAGGCGAGGAGGAAAGCGATGGAGCTAATAATGAAATCAGCTGAGGCGAGAGCTAAAGATGAGATAATAGAAGAGAAGGAAAAAGAGCTACAGGAGTTGAGAGAGCAGCTGTACTCAGGGGTGGGGCCGTCCTTCAGAGACGGAGGGGGGGGGGGGGGGGTCGTAGCATGAGGTATGGGGTCCTTCGCCTAGAAGAAGGGCGGATGGTGAATGGGAGGAGGGGAGGCGGGAGGGTGGGTATGGGGGGGGGGAGGACGGGAGGAGGAGGGTTACGGTTGAGTACGGAGGGATCGCTGAGCGAGATTGCTATGGGGGATGGAGGAGCTGTGTACCAGGCGTTGATTGAGGCGAGGGAGGAGAAGGAGGCGACTGTTACCGAGTTACTCAAACAGGTGGTAACCCTGAATGATAGGTTGGCTGCGGCGAAGCGGGAGAAAGATTCCGCGGTTGCTGAGGCTGAGAAGCAGCTTCGGGCGCCGTGGCTGACGCGGAGGAACGGGCGGAGAAGGCTCGGAAGGAGGCGGAGTCACTCGCTGTGTTGATAGAGCAGACGGAAGGGGATAAGGTGCATGCGCGAGCGAGCGTGGAGAAAGCGCAGGAGTATCTGCGAGCGCTAGACACGGCTAGAGTGGAGGTGAAGAGGCTGAGGCTGGAGAGGGATTTACTGAATGATCGGGTGAATACACTGGAGGAACAGGCGAGGGCGGCAGTGAATTCGGGAGGCGCGTTGGGGCGATGGCTGATGCCAAATTGTTTGCTTGCAGCGGCCGGAGAATGCGAGCAGCAGGCATGGGTGATGCTCCTGATACCCCCGGCAGGTGACAGGAAGGAGGACAGGGAACCGGACGGGAAAGGGATGGCCTGTAAGCCTGGTTGTTAGCAACGTTGTGACATTCTGAGGTTACACGGATAATGCTGGTAGCAGATGGAGAGGGGTTTTTGAATAATAGGGTGTGTTGGTTGTATTGATTGGAGTATGCAAAGGGAGGGGTGGTGCGAGTGAATGCAGGAGGGCGTTAAGGCGATGGCTCATGCCTAATTGCCTGCTGCGCGGCCGCAGAATGTGAGCAGCGGCATGGGTGATGCGCCTGATACCCTTGGCAGGTGGCAGGACAGGGTGACCTGTGGGGCATCTATTTTGTAAGAAGCGGAAAGGCATCGGAATCAGTGTGGGAGTGATGCACCTGATATTTCTAGCAAGCAGTGACGGTTGACTTAGGGTGACACAGGCACTCTGGTTTTTGAGGAACCCTGGCCTAGCCCGTTGCTCCAAAATAACACATTGTTTGTTTTATGCTTTCCTTTTTGTATATTATTTGCTATGTTGCAGTGGTGTCTAGACAAATTTCTGCAGTGTCCACGTAACAATATGGAAGTAGAACCGTTCGCGAATCCCGCTATTTCGCCAACTCATGTCTCCCGTTTCGCCAAGCCGTCCACCCTCCTCCTTCGTCAAGGCGCTGCCTTTGCTTCGCTACACACGTCTATCAACCGTGGGACGTGCTTGGGAACGCGGCCTGAAATAATGTGGTGCTGTTTATCAGACAGAACCGTACTATATCGCACGGATGCTTACAAAACCGCACGCATTTCTGTTACCAGCCAGACACCACCAACAAGGCCCCCTCGGGGTGTCCCACGATGAGGGCGTGTTTCGTGTTCTGCTGGTTCCCGAATTTTGCTCAATTAAATCGAAATTTCAACTCAAGACACCAGGGATTTTCCAGTTCCCCGCTCCATGAGCACTTGTCCAGCGATATGTCCACGCGCGTCGGGGGTGTGACGGGGCTTAGAAAGGCGGCAGGCGCGACTCGCGCCTCGTAACGCATCGAATAAAAACTCTCACCCTTTTCCCTCCTTTTCCTCTCCCCTCCTCCCCCTTTTGTCACAGGAGACGGTGGTATACGTGGTGGATGCGGGCCCATCCGTCCCACCAGGGGTGTTTCAGGAGTGCCGGCTATGTGGAGCAGCAGATGTGTGCAGAAGGTGGGGTTGGGTGGGGAAGAGGTGGTGTAGGTAGCTGAATGGGTGCAGATGGGAGTGTGGGTGTTTGGAATGCCGGCTGTGTGGAAGAGCCACCTGTCCCACCAGGGGTGGGTGTTGGAAGAGCCACCTGTCCCACCGGGGGTGGGTGTTGGAAGAGCCACCTGTCCCACCAGTTTGTCAGGAGTGCCGGCTCTGGGTGGAGTAGCAGATGGTGCAGAAGGTGGGGTGGGTTGGTGTAGTTGGCTGAATGGGTGCGGTTGGGTTTGGTGGGTGGTGGGCGGTTGTGGTCCATACAACCCGCCAGGGGTGTTTCAGGAGTGCCGGCTCTGGGTGGAGCAGCAGATGGTGCAGAAGGTGGGGATGGGTGAATGGGTGGGAAGGGAATGGGTGTGGTTGGTTGGGTGTGCACGTGGGGAGGGAGAGGAGGATGGGAGGGGTGGGTTCCGATGTGTAAAGAAGCATATCATCCCACCCATCCACTCCCATCCCATCTTATGACACCTCATCCACCTCATCCCCCTCATCCCACCTCATCCCACCTCGTCCCACCTCGTCCCACCTCATCCTACCTCATCACATTTCCATCCGTTTATTCTTGCTTAATCACCTATTGTTTCCTCCGTGTATCCTCTCTGCTCTGTCCTGGCAGCTTCTCTTCAACTCACGTGACGATGTTGCAGTTGTTGCATTCGGCTGCAAGGGTATGTGATGTGATGTGAGCCTTTTTTTTTTTTTTTTTTCTTCTTCTTCTTCTTGGGAATTCCGGTTGCTTCTTAAACCCTGCCTTCTACTATCCATTTCGCAACTCTTTGAGACAATATTTCTGCAATCCCCTATTTGCAGAGACGAACAATTCATGGAGGAGGTGGCAGCTACGAGAACATAGCCGTGGTGGTGCCTCACGGGTGGTGGATCCATCCTCGTTACAAGCTGTGCACGCTATGGAGCAAGCAGCAGATACGGATATCAGGAGTGACTGTGAGTGAACGGCCATCAAGGAATGAGTGTGTTTGGTGAGGGTGTAAAGGAGCGTAAAAAAGTGAAATTGAAAAAGAAAATGATAATAATAAAAATAAATAAATAAAAAAAGAGGACGTCAAATGGACTGGGCATCAGGGAATGACTGAGTGAATGGCCATCAAGGAGAGTGTGTGTGGGTGTGGGTGTTAGGAAGTGGTTTTGGATATGCGCGCTTGTAGTGGCTCTGGAGACTGAATTTGATCATCCGCTAAGGGCCCTCTCTCTGGGGCTCACCAAGGGGCGGAGGGGCGTCACTGCAGCCACCTTCTCCCTCCTCGTCTCTCACTGTGTGCCTCTTCCCGGCCCCACCACCCAGGGCTCAGCGCGCTTGTTGTGCCCCTGAACCTGCTCATTCGCACCAAGGGCCCTCTGTTGCTGAAGGGCTGCTCTCCTTTTTTCTCCGTCCCTCCTATCCCATGTGCATGCCCTTGTGCATGGCTTCCCATGTGCATGCCCTTGTGCATGCCCTTGCGCATGCCCTTGCGCATGCCCTTGTGGCTGCCCGTCCCCCACCACCTTCCCAGGGCTCAGCGCGCTTATGGGGGCCCTAGACCTGCGCATCCGCGCCAGGGCCCTCTGGGGCTGAAGGAAAGGGTGCGTGTGGAGGGGCTTCACTGACCCCATCGTTTCCCTTCCTCCATCTCTCCATGTCCGTCTCCCTCTGCTTCCCCTCCCCCACCCTCATCTTCCACCCCCCAGGGCTCAGCGCGCTTGTGGTGGCATTAGACCTGCTCATCCAATCCAAGGGCCTCTGGGGCTGACCAAGGGTGTGAAGCGTGTCGTGCTGCTGACAGGTGGCGGCACGCCATTGGAGGAGGCCAGCGAAGGCTCCAATGAGGAGCAGTGTGTGGAAAAGGGGGGACAGATATAGGGGGGTTTCGACAGGGGCTATCACACGTTCTCCTCTTCTGCCCTCTTTTGCCTTAGTCCACTTCCCCACTTTCCCACTTCACTTGCTCACTCTTTTTTTTGTTTTTTCCCCCCCCTTTAAATCTTCCTCCCAGGTGGCAACGATAGCCGGGAAAATGCGCGAGTACAGCATTACTCTGCACGCTGTGCTGCTGAAAGGGAGGGTGGACGGCCAAGAGGCAGCGGCAGGACCGCAGACGATGATGGGGACGCAGGAGGAGGAAGGGCAGGGGCCAGGGAGGTTGCGAATGAGAACGAGAAGCTGCTGAGAAGGTTCTTTGATGCAGGGCTTGCAGGGACCACGGGGGAAAAAGTGAAGAGCAGAGAAGTTGAAGGAAGAAGATGGGGGAGGGTACGAGAAACGGCGCAAACGGGAAGAGAATGGGACAGGTGATGCGAGGGCGGGGAGGAGGTGGGGGAGATGAGGAGCGGAGGAGAAAGGGGTGGGAGCGGTGGGGTGGTGTGTGGAGGGGAGCTGCGATTGGTGGCGTCACTAGCAGCAGCGGGCATGCTGTTCCGGGTGAAGCCACGCGTGCTGCCCACCACATCATACCGAGGGACCTGCTGGTAGCTCCTGGGTTCACCATCAAGGTGAGTCGCCTCAAGAGGTGGGGTGGTATGGGGTGGGGAGCTGCGAGTGAGTGAGTGAGCGAGTGAGTGAGTGAGTGAGCGAGTGAGTGAGTGAGTGAGCGAGTGAGTGAGTGAGTGAGTGAGTGAGTGAGTGAGCGAGTGAGTGAGTGAGTGAGTGAGTGAGTGAGCGAGTGAGTGAGTGAGCGAGTGAGTGAGTGAGTGAGTGAGTGAGTGAGTGAGCGAGTGAGTGAGTGAGTGAGCGAGTGAGTGAGTGAGTGAGTGAGTGAGTGAGTGAGCGAGTGAGTGAGTGAGTGAGTGAGTGAGCGAGTGAGTGAGTGAGTGAGTGAGTGAGTGAGCGAGTGAGTGAGTGAGTGAGTGGTGCCATTGTTCTTGGGAGCTGCAACGGGGAAGACACAAGTTACACTGCACGGCACTCGTGTCTTCCCCATCCAACCTCCCTCTTCCAACACGCACTTCCAGGTCGTGTCTTCCCCATCCAACCTCCCTCTTCAACACGCACTTCCAGGTCTGGACCTACTCACGACCTTCCCTCAATGCCTCCCTCCCCTCAAACTCCTCTCCCGTGCCTTGCCCCCCCTTCTGAAGAGGGGCAATTCTTGCTTTCCCGTATCTCCGCATCCCGCCTCATCCTTTCCCATCCCTTCCCATCCCTCTCAACCACACTCCCAGGTCTGGTCATTCAAGAAGACCTTTCCCCAACGCCTGCCTCCCCTGAAGCTGCTCTCCCAACTCGCCCCTCCCTCTGACCCCTCTGCCACTGGAGACGTGAAGATGGAGAGAGAATACCGAGTGGTGGAGAGCGGTGCAGATGGGCACGGGGAGGGCGGAGGGGGGGGGGGAGGTGGGGGGGATGAAGGAGGGGAAGGGGAGGAAGGGGGAGTGGGTGAGAGAGGAGAGGGAGGGGGCGAGGAGTTGGAGACAGTGGGGTTGGATGAGCTTGTGCGGGCATACAAGTATGGGCCTCAGGTGGGTTTCAGAGTCGACACAAGTCAATTAATGTCTTTACTAAATTCAGAAGTCACCAGGGGTTAGTGGAGAGGAGAGGGAGGGGGGAAAGAGCCGGAGACAGTGGGGTTGATGAGCTTGTGCGGGCGCACAAGTATGGGCCTCAGGTGGGTCTTGTTACTTGTAGGTCAACTCAAGTCAATATCGCTTTTTGCTTGCCTTTTGGTGGCGTTAAGCCTGGCTATCAATTAGTCTACGTCCTCCCACCGACCCCCCCTTCCTCCACGCTCTTCCCCACCTTCTTTCCCCCCTCCCTCCCTCCCTCCCATCATCACTAGGTCATTCCAGTGAGTGAGTATGACCGCATGGCGAACCGGTTCCACGCAGAAAAGGGGATTCAGATAATCGGCTTCACAATGCGAGACCAGATCCCCAGGTGATTGCACAGTGCGCTGCAGTGTGTCTGTCTTTCCAATAAGGGCTTACGTTTGGTCATTGAGGTGAGGGGAAGAAAAAATAGCATTTATTTATGTGCATGTGGCACTGGCCGGCAGGCGCTATTACCTAAAGGACACGGCCATTCTCCTCCGCGAGCCCACCAACGCCAAGGCAGATTTTGTCCTCTCAAGGACTTGTTGAACCCACATTCATCTCACCACGTACCCTGTTCCAATAGGCATGGCATGGCATGGCATGGCATGGCATGGGCAAGCACTAATACCTAAAGGGCACGGCCATTCTCCTCCCCGAGCCCACCGACACCAAGGCGGCTCTCGCCCTCACAACAATCTCTTGCACCTATATATGTGATACTTCCCACTCACCATGTTCCAGTTGTGTGTGGCAGGCACTATTTCCTCAAGGACGCGGCCTTCCTCCTCCCCAAGCCCAGCAACAAAGCAGCTTCCCTCGCCCTCTTGCACCCTTGCTGTGCCTCACACATCTTTTCTTGTGTGTGTGGCACTGGCATGGCATGGCATGGCATGGCATGGCATGGCATCCCAGGCACTACTTCATAAAGGACACGGCCATTCTCCTCCCCGAGCCAAGCAATACCAAAGCCGCTCTCGCCCTCTCAGCTCTCGCCCAGGCCATGGAAGCTTCTGGGAAGGTGGCAATCGTGCGGTTCAAGCTCACCAACCGAGCAGACTCGGGCGTGGCACTGGGCGTGTTGACACCGTGGTGTAGAGGGACGAGGGGGTTTGCAGAGGAGGAAGATGAATGTGTGGTGAGTGCGTGCTGGTGTGAGTGTCATACTGATGGGATGCAATCGGTCGTTGTGCTGATGCTGTGGTGTAGTAGAAAGAAGCGAGCATTCGCCACACAAGAGGAGCATGACGCTGTGGTGAGCGCATGTTGTGTTTTGAGTCAACTCAAAACACGACTGTGGTGAGCGCATGTTGTGTTTTGAGTCAACTCAAAACACGACTGTGGTGAGTGCATGTTGTGTTTTGAGTCAACTCAAAACACGACTGTGGTGAGTGCATGTTGTGTTTTGAGTCAACTCAAAACACGACTGTGGTGAGCGCATGTTGTGTTTTGAGTCAACTCAAAACACGACTGTGGTGAGTGCACGCGTGGGAGTGATTACCGTCAGCGAGGGCATCCGGGATTCCCTTGTGTTGCTCGTCGTGTTCCCATCATCATCTCCCTTTCCCCTCTCCTCTTCCCTCCTTCTCCCCCTTCCACCCAAGCTGCCCAATTTTTCTGCTCTTCAACACCATCCCCTTCACTGAGGGCATTCGGGAGTCCCTTGTGCTGTGGGTCGCCTCTTCGCCCTTGCAACATGCAACCTCATCTCCCCTCTCTCTCCCGGACTGTGTTCCCCCTCCCAACCAGCCCGACCTGCTAATGTTCAACACCATCCCCTTCACTGAGGACATCCGGGAGTTCTCCTTCCCGTCCCTCGAAGCCGCGCGCCGCCCAATCAGCAGCCGACAGCTGTCCAGAGCAGCGCAGCAGCAGCGCTGGTGCAGGCGATGTCTCTAGTGCGGTGCAGTACGGTGGGGGATGATGAGGAGGAGTACAGTAAGGAGGAGGGGGTGGAGGAGGATGAGAAGCTGAGACCAGAAAACACACCCAGCCCAGCACTGCAGGTACTTTTTACTCAATTGGTTCTGAACCCAGCCCAGCACTGATGTTTTTTTTCTTTCTTTCCTTCTTTCTTTCTATATATATATATATATATATATATAATATATATATATATGTATGGGGATGTGGAGGGATGAGACATTGAGAGCAAATGGGACCAGCTGAGACACGCTGAGGCTCCCACCCTCCCAACCAATTAAAAATACCCTCTTTCTCCCCCCAGCTCGGCACTACTACGCTTTTTTTCATTCCTCCATTCCAAAGCCCCAATCCGGTATCACTCCATCTCTTTCGGGACACCCCACCCCCCTCTCGGCATTCTCCCACCCTCCCCTCGCCTCTCATTCCCCCCCCCCTCTCTCATTCTCTCCCACCCTCCCTCTCTCATTCTCCTCCACCCTCCCTCTCTCATTCTCCCACCCTCCCTCTCTCATTCTCCCACCCTCCCTCTCTCATTCTCCCACCCTCCCTCTCTCATTCTCCCACCCTCCCTCTCTCATTCTCCTACACTCCTCCCTCTCTCATTCTCCTACCCTCCCTCTCTCATTCTCCCACCCTCCCTCTCTCATTCTCCCACCCTCCTTCCCCCCCCATCGCAGCACTACTACTAATGCATCCTCCACCCCCCAAGCCCTCCCATGCTACTTCCCTCTCTTGTTGTTCACCCCACCCACCCACCCACCCACCCACAAACCCTCCACTTTCCCGCCCTCCACCCTCACCTCCCCTCCATCACAGAACTACCATGAATTTATTTGAGCTCAGGTCCTCCCTCTCTATATATTTTTGCTTCTTCCACCTCTATTTATTTTTCTCTCCCACCCTCTCAAGCCCACCCTTTGATTCGCATTCTCCCACTCTCCCACTCCCAATCTTCCCCCTCTCCCCCCCAAATCGCAGCACTACTACGATTTCATCCGAGCTCGGGTTCTCCACCCCAAGGCCCGCATACCGCCACTCCCTGCCGCCCTCGCTTCTCCCCTCTCCCACCCGCTCTCCGCCGACCATCCTGCCGCCCGGTCCTTTGCTGCTGCCTTCCCTGCCCTCGCTGATCACACCGCGGTGAGTTGAAGGAGGTTGGTTGACGCATGGTGAGATGAAGCAGGGTGTAATTTGAGTCGATTCAAGTTATGCTGGGGCCTTTGCTGTGGCCTTCCCTGCTCTTGCGGATCACACCGTGGGGCAAGTAAGCTGAAGCGGGGTAAGATGAATTACGTAGCCTCAAACAGCGTGGGTCTTCGGCCTAAAGCACGGTTGTAGTAGCACAGGCTGTAGCACAGGCTGTAGAACTAGCCGTGACATTAGCTGTAGCACTAGCTGTAGCACACTGCTGTTCACACCTTGAAAAGCTCTGTGACTTACAGCATTCTCCCCATGGAATTCCCACCCCTCACCATTCCCCATTCGCTTTTCCAGCATCTTTCGCAGCAGCCTGTGCAGTTGTCACAGGCGGCGCCTTCCCCCCCAGAGGAGCCTGCACCAGCTGCACCTACCCCGAGCAGACCAGAATCTCCTGCAGCCAAGGATCAAAGCAGGGAGACTAGCACCGGGCCTTCGGATGTTACCAGTGCGGGGCACTGATGGATATGCAGCTGTCTCAGGTACAGCCTTCTCCAGAGGAACCTGCACCAGCTGCACCTGCCCCAAGCAGACCAGATTCTCCTGCAGCCAAGGATCAAAGCAGAGAGACCAGCACCGGGCCTTCAGGTGTAACCAGTGCGGGGCACTGATGGATGTGGTAACTGTGGCGTGTGATAGTGTAGTGTAGCCAGTGCACCTGGGGGCCTTCAGGTGTAAGCACTTTAGGGCATTGATGGATGTGCAGCAGTCCCCAGAGGAACCTGCACCAGTTGCACCTGCCCCAAACATGCCAGGTTTTCTTGAAGCCAAGGATCAGAGTGGCGAGATGAGTGTCAGGCCATCGGGTTTAACCAGTGCAGGCTCATCTGGTGTCACCAGTGTAGAAAAGCGATTTTGCACCATATGATCATGTTACCAGTGCAGGTCAGTCTGGTGTTATCTGTGTAAAAAGGTGATTGGTGTTTTAAGTGTATCATTTGATATTGTAGCCACTTCATGCCCATCTAGAATTACCAGATTAGAAAAAGCGACTCTATGTGTGCGTGCGTGTGCGCGTGTGTTGGTGGGTGGGTGCGTGCGTGCATGCTTGCGTGCGTGCGTGCGTGCGTGTGTGTGCGCGCACACTTCTGGGGTATTAAAATAGATTTTGCCTGTTATGCGAGCCTTAAGATAATGTACCCAGTACCAGCATAACAACACAAGTACTGTTAACAACTTGGGCAATAAGATAACAAGGGGTAGTTTAGAAGATGACCGACCCTGGGAGGAAAAGCTCTGACTCGAGCTGCTGCAACATGTGGCAGATGGCTTTTGAGCCGCTTCAAAGAGGAACGGGACCGTCATTGGTTGACATAAGTTGTGGTGGTTGTTGAGTAACAGGGAAGACTAGAAGATGACAGAGCCTGGGAGGAAGAGCTCCGACTCGAGCTGCTGCAGCATGTGGCAGATGGCGTTGCACACTGCAATGGCGGGCTTCTGAACACACCGGGGGAATACGGGAAGGAGGGGTGGGAGTAGAGAGGAGCACGACAGGAGGAGAATGAGAAGCTCATTGCCCCTTCTGGGAGAAGCTCTGTGACAGATGTTGCAGACTGCGATTGCCGGCTTCTGGGTGTGGGAGGCCACGTGTAAAAAGTGTATTTTTTAGACATCTCAAAAATACACTTTTTACACGAGAGGAGCACGACGGGAGGAGAATGAGAAGCATGTGACAGATGTTGCAGACTGTGATTGCCGGCTTCTGGGTGGGGGAGAAGATAGGAGAGGGTGCACAGCGCTTGATAGTGAGCCGATGAAAACGATTCTGCAGGGAAGTGAGCACCCAGTGATGCGCGCACAGTGATGCGCGCACAGTGATGGGCGCACAGTGATGGGCGCACAGTGATGGGCGCACAGTGATGGGCGCACAGTGATGGGCGCACAGTGATGGGCGCACAGTGATGGGCGCACAGTGATGGGCGCACAGTGATGGGCGCACAGTGATGGGCGCACAGTGATGGGCGCACAGTGATGGGAGAGATGGGCGAGGCGATGGGAGAGATGGGCGAGGCGATGGGAGAGATGGGCGAGGCGATGGGAGAGATGGGCGAGGCGATGGGAGAGATGGGCGAGGCGATGGGAGAGATGGGCGAGGCGATGGGAGAGATGGGCGAGGCGATGGGAGAGATGGGCGAGGCGATGGGAGAGATGGGCGAGGCGATGGGAGAGATGGGCGAGGCGATGGGAGAGATGGGCGAGGCGATGGGAGAGATGGGCGAGGCGATGGGAGAGATGGGCGAGGCGATGGGAGAGATGGGCGAGGCGATGGGAGAGATGGGCGAGGCGATGGGAGAGATGGGCGAGGCGATGGGAGAGATGGGCGAGGCGATGGGAGAGATGGGCGAGGCGATGGGAGAGATGGGCGAGGCGATGGGAGAGATGGGCGAGGCGATGGGAGAGATGGGCGAGGCGATGGGAGAGATGGGCGAGGCGATGGGAGAGATGGGCGAGGCGATGGGAGAGATGGGCGAGGCGATGGGAGAGATGGGCGAGGCGATGGGAGAGATGGGCGAGGCGATGGGAGAGATGGGCGAGGCGATGGGAGAGATGGGCGAGGCGATGGGAGAGATGGGCGAGGCGATGGGAGAGATGGGCGAGGCGATGGGAGAGGAGGCGAGGCGATGGGAGAGATGGGCGAGGCGATGGGAGAGGAGGGCAAGGCGATGGGCGAGGGGGGCGATATGAGAGGGTAGAGAGAGTATGAACGGAAGCGAGTGAGACGAGATGCAGGACTGGGGAAGTAGCAGGGCAGGGAGCAAGATAGGAGCAGGGCAGGGAGCAAGATAGGAGCATTTGAGAGGGAGCACTAGGAAGAAGACGAGAGTAGCTGGCTGATCAGCACACTCTACCAGCAACACACAATGCCACCAACCGCACCTTGGTTGCTAGAGGGTCGAATGCAGCCATGATCTCAAAGTCAGGCGTTCGCCAGGAGAGCAGCACTGCAGGGGAGAGAAGGGCAGTGTGGGGAGAGTAGAGAGGGAAGTCAAGTGAGGGAAGGGCAACGGCAAATGCGAAGATCAAAAGCAGAAAATAAATAAATAAATAAATCAACAAATAAATAAATAAATAAATAAGTAAATAAATAAAAAATCCATAGAACAAAACAAAGGAGCAAGGGATGAAGGGGGGAAGGTGAGCCGAGGGATGTCTCACCAAAGTCCTTGGTTCGTCTATACTGCGTCTTGATGCCGCCCGGCATGGGGCAACTGCCGCCCGTTTCCATCGCAGCCAGCAATGATGATGCTGACGTGGACGATGAGGATGCTGACATGGCAGAGGAGGCTGCTGACGTGGCGCCGCCAGTGGCGTGCGTTGCGGTGACGGGGGTCTGAGCTGTCATGGAAGAGTGCATCGTTTGATAGGCCCGCAGGAGACTGGAAGGCAATAGAGGTGAGGAGAGGCAAGGGGAGGGACAGAAGCGGAGTGGGGGAGAAAGGGGAAGTGAATGGAGAGTGACCTGAGCTGTCACACACGAGTGCATCCGCTCTACACGCCCCACCCACCCCCCCGCCCGCCACCCGCCCGCCACCCGCCCGCACAACCCCCCGGCCGCCCGGCCAGTGCCCCTCCCACAGAACCCCTCCCATATGCATCCACGCAGCTAGCCTCACACCCTCCACTCACGTTTTCTGCTGCCTCCTGTCGCTCAGTGCTGTCGCCATGACGAGCTGCTGCAGAAGCACACACGCACCCACCCTCCCTTCCCCACGCCACCCATCACACCCCCCCCTCCGGCCCCCCACTCACGTCTCTTGCTGCCGTCTGTAGCTCAGCGCTGGAGGGAACTCGGCCATGCCGAACTGCCGCAGAGGCAACCCCCCCCTGCCCCCCTCCCCCCAAACCCCTCAAACCCACTGCCCTTCCCCACTTGTTCCCCCACCCACTCACGTCTTCTGCTGGCGCCTGTCGCTCAGCGCTGGAGGGAACTCGGTCATGATGAACTGCCGCAGAGGCAACCCCTCTGCTTTGCAAGTTTCACCCGCACACCCCGTGTCCTTCCCAATCCCTCTCACGCCCCACTCACGTCTTCTGCTGCCGCCTGTCGCTGAGCGCCGGGGGGAACTCGGCCATGACAAACTGGCGCAGAGGCACGCTGCGGAACACAAAGTGCAGCAGCCCCTGCGGGCCCCACATGGGCGCTGCTTGCGCTAGCGCCTGTGCTGCTGTCTGTGCTGCCATCCGTGTGTGTGTCTGTGAGTGTGTCTGTGCCGGCACTTGAGGGGGTATCTGGGTGGGAATGGCGAGAGGAGGAGGAGGGAGGGACCGGTTGGGAGGGGTAGAGGACGGTTCGAGAGGAGCAGACACTGGCACCTCTGTCGCTAGCAAATCGGTTTCGTGTTGGCCCAACCCCGTGCCTGTACACATGCCCACGCCCATGCCCACGCCCATGCCTACGCCCACAGTCATGCCCCCTCCCAATACACTTCTCAGCTTTTCCAGTGCCAATATCGCTCCATCCTCCTCCTCTTCATCCTCCTCCTCTTCATCCACCTCCTCCTCTTCTCCCTCCTCTCCTTCCTCCTTCCCTTCCCCTCCCTCAGCGCCTTCTCCTCCTCCCTCCCCTTCCCTCTCCCCCCCACCACCAAACACTGCCCGGCCCTCTGATTGGTCGAACGCTCCCGAGTAATCATCATCCTCGTCAGCACCGTCTTCTGATTGGCCCATGGGGATAATATCACACCCCATGCCTGGGCCCAGACCGTACGGGTCTGGAAAGGGCAAGCCGGGGGGTTGGGGGGAGGGGAGGAGGGCGGGGGAACGGAAGGGGGAGGAGGAGCGACGAGAGGATGGGGAGGGGGAGCGACGGCGGGCAGGGGAGGAGGAACGAAGAGAGCGGGATGAGGAGCGGGGAGCAGGGGAGGAGGGGCGCTGGGGGAAGGAGGAAGAGGGTTGTGTGGCTGTGGTGATGGTGCTTGTAGGGTTGGTGGCGGTGGCAGTGGTAGTGGTGATGCGAGAAGGGGTGGTGAAGCGAGGCGAGGAGGGAGGAAAGGGAGAGTGCCTAGTGTTGCTGCTGCTGCTGCTGTTACTAGAAGAGGCAGTGGTGGTGGTGCGAGCGCTCTTATTGGCTGCAGCGGCGATGGAGTCGATGTGTGATTGGACGAGATGAACAGTGACGCCGCGAGACGGGGAGGAAGCTGCGGAGGAAATTTCCTGGAAGATGTTGCACTGTAGCAACGTGCGTTCCATTGCTACCCTGCAAGATGAATGAAAGGAGGGGTTTGTGAGACAGAATAATCAAGGAAAAGACTTGACTCACGAAAGTCCCTGCAACAGAAACGAAGGGACGGGCTTGAGAAATAGCAAAATACGCACAGAAGCACAGAAGCACAGAAGCACAGAAGCACAGAAGCACAGAATAATCGTGTGACTTGGTGAACAAATGAGAGTATCCGCAGAACCTTGCCTCGCCTCACCAAACTGTTTTTTTTTTCCTCTGTTTTATTTTGCTTGTTAAATGTTTTGCCTCGCCTCACCACCTAACCTCACCGCACCTCACCTCACCTCACGACTTTGAGTGCGTGGAGGCTGTTGAATCAGCAGAAAACAGCAGCAGCCTCGTGCTGCTTCCCTTGATTCCGATACTCACCCTGCTGCACCGCTCCTCACCACGTCTCACCTCACGTCTTTAAGTGCATGGAAGCTGTTGGGATCAGCAGACAGCAGCAGCAGCCCCGTGTCTCCCCGCGACTGGTGGTGGTCGTGCATTGGCGCCCTGCTGCTGCCATTGCTGCCAACACCAACGTCACTGCTGTTGCTCGCTGCTGTTGTGCCCACAGCACGCCCATTGCCTGGGACAACTCTAGCAGTAGCAGCAGCGTCGCCACCAGCAGTGTCGCCACCAGCAGTGTCGCCAGCAGCAGCGTCGCCAGCAGCAGCGTCGCCAGCAGCAGCAGCAGCAGCAGCAGCTTGGTTTTGACTGGTAAGCGTTTGACTGAGGGACGGTTGGCCGGCGGATGGAATGGGAGTGGATGGAATGGGAGTGGATGGAATGGGAGTGGATGGAATGGGAGTGGATGGTGCGCGGAGTGGGCGGCAGTGGCTGGTCTGCGGCCCAGTAGTGCACATATGCATAGAGGAAGGCGGCTGGGTTGTAGTGGGGGAGGCATACTGGCGTGAAGGACTCGGGTGATGTTCTGTGAGGGAAGGGGATGGGGGGAGAGGGAAGGAGATATGGGAAGAGAAAGGACGTTGAATGGTGGGAGAACAGCAGCGGCTGGTCTGCAGCGATGCACGTATGCATAGAGGAAGGCCGCCCGGTGTGTGGGAGGGAGGGGCGGAAGGGAAGAGGAAGAGTTTGGAGTTCGAGTCTCGAGAGCACACAGCAGCGGCTGGTCTGCAGCGGTGCATGTATGCATAGAGGAAGGCCGCCCGGTGTGTGGGAGGGAGGGACGGAAGGGAAGAGGAAGAGTTTGGAGTTCGAGTCTCGAGAGCACACAGCAGCGGCTGGTCTGCAGCGGTGCATGTATGCATAGAGGAAGGCCGCCCGGTGTGTGGGAGGGAGGGACGGAAGGGAAGAGGAAGAGTTTGGAGTTCGAGTCTCGAGAGCACACAGCAGCGGCTGGTCTGCAGCATTGCATGTATGCATAGAGTAAGGCCGCCCGGTGTGTGGGAGGGAGGGACGGAAGGGAAGAGGAAGAGTTTGGAGTTCGAGTCTCGAGAGCACACAGCAGCGGCTGGTCTGCAGCGGTGCATGTATGCATAGAGGAAGGCCGCCCGGTGTGTGGGAGGGAGGGACGGAAGGGAAGAGGAAGAGTTTGGAGTTCGAGTCTCGAGAGCACACAGCAGCGGCTGGTCTGCAGCGGTGCATGTATGCATAGAGGAAGGCCGCCCGGTGTGTGGGAGGGAGGGACGGAAGGGAAGAGGAAGAGTTTGGAGTTCGAGTCTCGAGAGCACACAGCAGCGGCTGGTCTGCAGCGGTGCATGTATGCATAGAGGAAGGCCGCCCGGTGTGTGGGAGGGAGGGACGGAAGGGAAGAGGAAGAGTTTGGAGTTCGAGTCTCGAGAGCACACAGCAGCGGCTGGTCTGCAGCGGTGCAGGTATGCATAGAGGAAGGCCGCCCGGTGTGTGGGAGGGAGGGATGGAAGGGAAGAGGAAGAGTTTGGAGTTCGAGTCTCGAGAGCACACAGCAGCGGCTGGTCTGCAGCGGTGCACGTATGCATAGAGGAAGGCCGCCCGGTGTGTGGGAGGGAGGGACGGAAGGGAAGAGGAAGAGTTTGGAGTTCGAGTCTCGAGAGCACACAGCAGCGGCTGGTCTGCAGCGGTGCATGTATGCATAGAGGAAGGCCGCCCGGTGTGTGGGAGGGAGGGACGGAAGGGAAGAGGAAGAGTTTGGAGTTCGAGTCTCGAGAGCACACAGCAGCGGCTTGTCTGCAGCGGTGCATGTATGCATAGAGGAAGGCCGCCCGGTGTGTGGGAGGGAGGGACGGAAGGGAAGAGGAAGAGTTTGGAGTTCGAGTCTCGAGAGCACACAGCAGCGGCTGGTCTGCAGCGGTGCATGTATGCATAGAGGAAGGCCGCCCGGTGTGTGGGAGGGAGGGACGGAAGGGAAGAGGAAGAGTTTGGAGTTCGAGTCTCGAGAGCACACAGCAGCGGCTGGTCTGCAGCATTGCATGTATGCATAGAGTAAGGCCGCCCGGTGTGTGGGAGGGAGGGACGGAAGGGAAGAGGAAGAGTTTGGAGTTCGAGTCTCGAGAGCACACAGCAGCGGCTGGTCTGCAGCGGTGCATGTATGCATAGAGGAAGGCCGCCCGGTGTGTGGGAGGGAGGGACGGAAGGGAAGAGGAAGAGTTTGGAGTTCGAGTCTCGAGAGCACACAGCAGCGGCTGGTCTGCAGCGGTGCATGTATGCATAGAGGAAGGCCGCCCGGTGTGTGGGAGGGAGGGACGGAAGGGAAGAGGAAGAGTTTGGAGTTCGAGTCTCGAGAGCACACAGCAGCAGCTGGTCTGCAGCGGTGCATGTATGCATAGAGGAAGGCCGCCCGGTGTGTGGGAGGGAGGGACGGAAGGGAAGAGGAAGAGTTTGGAGTTCGAGTCTCGAGAGCACACAGCAGCGGCTGGTCTGCAGCGGTGCATGTATGCATAGAGGAAGGCCGCCCGGTGTGTGGGAGGGAGGGATGGAAGGGAAGAGGAAGAGTTTGGAGTTCGAGTCTCGAGAGCACACAGCAGCGGCTGGTCTGCAGCGGTGCACGTATGCATAGAGGAAGGCCGCCCGGTGTGTGGAAGGGAGGGACGGAAGGGAAGAGGAAGAGTTTGGAGTTCGAGTCTCGAGAGCACACAGCAGCGGCTGGTCTGCAGCGGTGCATGTATGCATAGAGGAAGGCCGCCCGGTGTGTGGGAGGGAGGGACGGAAGGGAAGAGGAAGAGTTTGGAGTTCGAGTCTCGAGAGCACACAGCAGCGGCTGGTCTGCAGCGGTGCATGTATGCATAGAGGAAGGCCGCCCGGTGTGTGGGAGGGAGGGACGGAAGGGAAGAGGAAGAGTTTGGAGTTCGAGTCTCGAGAGCACACAGCAGCGGCTGGTCTGCAGCGGTGCATGTATGCATAGAGGAAGGCCGCCCGGTGTGTGGGAGGGAGGGACGGAAGGGAAGAGGAAGAGTTTGGAGTTCGAGTCTTGAGAGCACACAGCAGCGGCTGGTCTGCAGCGGTGCATGTATGCATAAAGGAAGGCCGCCCGGTGTGTGGGAGGGAGGGACGGAAGGGAAGAGGAAGAGTTTGGAGTTCGAGTCTCGAGAGCACACAGCAGTGGCTGGTCTGCCGCCCAGTAGTGCACATAAGTGTATTTGAGTCGACTCAAAAATAGTCTGCCGGCCAGTAGTGCACATAGGTATAGAGAAAGGCGGCGGGGTTGTGGCGGGGCATAGTAGTGGGGCAGGCACACGGGGGTGAAGGACTTAGAGGATGTGGTGGATGGGTGTGAGGGTGTGATGTAAGAAGAGAGAAATCAAGAGGGACAGAGGCACGGACGGGGAAAAGACATAAGGCCCCAGCAGCGCAAAGCGTACGTGCAGGGACGGCAGTTGAGTTGAGTTGAGTTGAGATGAGATGAGGCCACCAGGACGAAAATCGAGGCGCCTTAAACGGCAGTGGGCTACCAACCAAGATGAACGGATTCATTGCTTACTGGAATAAATCGGAAGCATTGAGGAAGTTGAGAAGCAGAAAGCCGTCGTCTGAGTGAAGTGAAGAGGCTCTCACTTCCTGCGCGCCACTGTCAGTCACCTTTTGAAACGTCTCACCACTGACCACCTTTTGAGACGTTTCAAATGGCGCCACTGTGACCACTGACCACCTAAAAGCCCGAGAAGACCAGCCCATCGCCAAGCAGAGCACACGGGAGGGAGGCAGCAACTAGCTGTGGCGTACCGGAATGAATCTGAGGCGTTGAGGAAGTTGAGAAGGGGAAATATGTCGCCTGAATGCAGGAGCTCTCGCTTCCTGTGCGCCACTGTCTAGTTTTGAGGCGACAATATTCCTCAACGCCTCAAAACTTACCGGAATGAATCGGAAGCATTGAGGAAGTTCAGTAGGAGGAATATATCATCCGAATGCAAGAGCTCTCGCTTCATGTGCGCCACTGTGACCACCTCAAAGCCAGGGAAGACCAGCGCGAAGAGCGCAGGGGAGGCGGCAGCATGAAGAGCACGGGCATGGCAGGAGGGTACTCAAGACCAGTTAACTTACCGGAAGGAATCTGAGGCGTTGAGGAAGTTGAGGAGAAGGAAGATGTCGTCAGAGTGAAGAGGTTCCCTCTTCCTGTGCGCCACTGTGACCACCTCAAAGCCCGAGAAGACCAGCGCGAAGAGCGCAGGGGAGGCGGCAGCAGCGGTCTTTATTGCGCCGCTCACAGTGGTGCGCACCCATGCTGGTATGCGGAGGCAGCGCATTGAGGAGAGGTAGCTGGCTGGGTCCCTGGCATGGAATGGGAAGGACCAGGAATACAGCACTATGGCATGGCTGCATGTGTGTGCGTGCGTGCGTGCGTAAATCGCCCCCCAATACAATGCTGAAATGAAAGGATTCATACTCTCATGTACCACCACCAGCACACACACACACAGGGAGGGAAGCTTACCAAGAGAAGGAGTGGATGAGCGCGGAAAACAGACGGTCCGTGCCGCCCAGCAGCGGGCGGATGTCAAACTTGGGGTTGCGCAGAAAAGACCGCTCGATGGCTGACGTCAGCAGCATGAGGAGCTGGTGAGCGGGGTGGTGGGGGGGAAGAGGCGGGAGGCAGGGGTAGAGGGAACGGGGGAGATGCGGAAAAAAGGCTCTGCGTGAGTGTCGAGACATTGCAAAGCAGGAACGTTGCAGGGAATTTTTTAGAATTCAGAAAAAAAAAAAAAAAAAAAAAAAAAATCCCTGCGAACGAACGACCTCTCGTTGGCTGATCTCGGCAGCATGAGTAGCAGGAGTGGGAAGAAGGAGATTTTTTTAAGTCGGTAGTGTGGCAACCAACAATGCTTGGCATATGAAGATTTTAAAAGAGGAAACTGGAGGAGAGAAGCATGATGCAGAATAGAATAAGAGGGGGGGGGACACCCTTGTTCTCCTCTCATTGGAATGATGTGAGGAGAACAAGGGGGCGCCATGCCATGCCATGCCATGCCATGCCATGCCATGCCATGCCATCCCTCACCCACTTCTGCAAACCCACCATCTTGTGGAGGTGGTCCAGCTGTCGCCTTACGATTGGCTCTGGTGTGTTTAGTTTAGACTGACCCGACTCAAGTCTCACCATCTTGTGGAGGTGGTCCAGCTGTCGCTCTATGATTGGCTCTGGCTCACCCGCATCGCTGATGGCAACGAGGTAGAAGGATCCGCGCACGAGGAAGAGCACCTTTGGGGAGGGGGGGTGAGGGATGGCAGGGGGATGGAGAGGTTGAGGGATGTGGGGTGTGGTTGCCGCGAGGTACAAGGATCCGCGCATGAGGAAGAGCACCTTTGGAAAGGTGTGGGTCAGGGGTTGAGACAGGGGCGGTGGGAGGCGCGGGTGGGAGAGGGTTGTGAGGGAGGGGGGGCAGGGGGGGCAGGAGAGGGGAAGCGTGTGTGATGGCGATGCGGTACAAGGAGCCTCGCACGAGGAAGAGGACCTTTGGGGAGGGGCGGGTCGGAGAGGGGGTGGTTTGACAGAGGGTGGTGGGAGCGAGGGTGGTGGGAGCGAGGGTGGTGGAGGGATGAGGGGGATTGGGGGATGTGGGATGTATTGCCATGGGGTACAAGGAGCCTCGCACGAGGAAGAGGACCTTTGGGGAAGGGGTGGGTTTAGGAAAGGGGTGGAAAGGGGTGGACAGGGGTGGACGGGGGTGGACGGGGGTGGACGGGGGTGAGTGAGAGGGCACCTGGTGCAGCCCGACACTGATGCTTCTGATGTCACCAGCGCCTGCAGCACCCATGACACTACCCACCTGCCATGGCCATGCATTTCCTGCCATCGCCATGCATTTCCTGCCATGGCCATGAATTTCCTGCCATCGCCATGCATTTCCTGCCATGGCCATGCATGTCATGACACACGCACCTGGTGCAGCCCCGCACGGATGCTTCGGATGTGGTCCCCTGTGGACTCCACATACGCCACCAGCGCCTGCAGCACCCCTCCAAACGCTGCTAGCTTGTACTCGTCACCGTACCTTCGGGGTGGAGGGATGGGAGAGGGGAGAGGGCAGAGGGCAGAGGGCAGAGGGGAGAGAGGAGCACATCAGAACCTCTTTCCCAGAGGAGCACAGCAGCAGAGGGTAAAGGGTTGAGACAACTTCCCAATTTGGTAATGGCACAGACGTGAGAGAGAAATGAATAAAAGTCTTTCACCTCTTTGCAACAAACAAGACGCGGGTTGGTTGGCAGGAAGAACAAACGTTTCAAACCCGCCTGAAGTTCATGGGGTGCGTCGTTGGTTTCGGAAATGCAAATCAGCGAGCCAGCCAATCACCGTGAGAAGACGGGCTTGCCCGCGTTGGTGACGACCAGGAAATGCCGGCCGTGCTGCCGCCACTCCTGCTGGTTCTCGTCCTGCAGTGAGGCGGACATTGCATGTGGGCGGTGGGATGGCGAGAGGATGGCATGAGCATGGGTCTCGTATGGGGATGGGCCATATAGGAGCTGACTTTTGAGTTGACTCAGATGTCATGAGCATGGGTCTGGTATGGGGATGGACCCCACCCCTTCCCACACACCATTTCCTCCCACACCTCACCTCATCCGCATGTCTCTTGCCTGGCAGCCACCCATGTGACCACAGGGACCTGCCCGTGCCTCTCCTCCTCACTCTCTCACTCTCCGCCTCCCTCCTCCTCTCCTCCTCCCTTGCCTTCTCCTTCTCCCTCCCCTCCTCCTCCTCCCGTTTCTCCCTCTCCCTCTCCCTCTCTTGCTCCCTCCTCCCCCTTTCTCGTTTCTTCATTTCCTCCCTCTCTCCTCCTCTCTTCCCTCCTTCTTCTCCCTCCCTCTCTCCCTCCCTCCTTCCTTCTCCCTCTCCATCTCTGTCAACCGTTCTTCACCCATTTCCCCACCCTGTTCGCTCGGCTCGCCACTCCCCACACCCTCACTCCCACTAACTCTATTTGCTTTGCTTCCTCCTCCTCTGTCCGCCTCTCTCCCCTCTCCCCTCCCCTCTCCTCTCCCCTCCCCTCCCTTTCCTCCTCTCTCCTTCCCTCTCTCCATTCCTCCCTCTCCTTCTTCCTCCTTTCTCTGAGACGACTCCCCTTCGCTATCGTTTCCCGCGTTGCAGTCCCTGCTGACGTCGTTGCTGACGTCATTGCTGACGTTAGCACCTAACTCTCGCAGCACTGCGTCCACCTCATCGTCGCCAATCGGACGGCTCTCCGCATCCGATGCTGCTGCCGCTAGCAAAATCGCCGAGACTATCTCTGCCTTCTCCTTGGCTTCTCTGCGTTTACCAATATCCTCGTTAGAGCTATCCCCGCTATCGTCACTATGCTCAGACGATTCGTCCGAGTCATCTGGAAGGTAACATGGCGGGTCTGACGACATCTGCGAAATCGTGGTTACAACAAGCGAAGATGGAATCCGTCTTCTAGTGAGAAAGGTTACATCGAAACATCGAAATTCAGAACTGCGTTACAACAAGATCCGTTACGCGAATTCGCAGCTGAAAACTTTGATACACTAAATTCCTTTCCATTTGAAATGTGAATACAATTCCTCTCGTGACAGCAATAAAACAAGCCAACAATTAGTGCTGGAGCCATGAGTATTCTGAGCCATCATAGACAACGCACTTGGACACAATGATTGTAATGGCTTCAAATCCATGTTAGTGTACGTACGTAAGGTACATAATCCTATCGTATTACTTGCACTGTACAAAAGGAGATCATGCCTCCCTTGGCGTTATCGTGCACCACGCGCAGGCACAGGCGAACCCAACTGGAAAATACCCCTTTTATCCGGAGGGCTCCCAAAAGGCCCTGCTGCATCACCTTTCCTTTGCGGGGATGTTGCTTCCGGTGATTCCCCCCCTCCCACTCCTCCCGAGCCTTTTGCTTCTCCCGAACCTACCCGTGTGCTACGTGTGGTGGGCGAATCAGACCGGAAAGAGCTTCTTCGTTCCAATAAACTCCCCAAAAGCCCCCCACCAGCAGCAGCAGTAGCACCACCACTGCCAACACCACTGCCCCCTCTCCTCTGTGGTGAGGTGATTTGGGGCGACCTCCCTCCTCCCACTCCTCCCACTCCCCGTCCCACTCCTCCGCCTCTGTCCCTCTCACCCGCCCTGTCCGCCCCTGCACCCTCCTTTCGCTGTGTATCAGGTGGCGGCTCTGCGGTGAAAAACGGCCGGATGTATTTTGAATCGAGGTCTTCAAAGGAAGGGCTGCAAGGATTGAAAAATGGGGTGAACAAGAGAGAGACGAGGGGGGGCGTAAGCGGTGCCACATTTTGCAGGCTTTGTCATCAAGACCGGTCAGATGGTTTTTAAATAGAATCGGGTCCTCCAAGGGAACGGCTGCAAGGAGAGAAACAGGGGGTTATGCAACAGAGAGAGGTGGACACCTCAAATTGTTGGCTCTGACGAGAAGCGTGCATGGTCGGATATCATTTGATTTGAGGTCCTCAAAGGGAACGGCTGCGCGGAGATAGATGGGAGAGGGAACAGGGTGGGAGAGTGAAAAGTCCATGAAACCTTCTTGGTCGTCTTGCTGATTACGTGTGTGGAGGCCATTGCCAATGCCACAATTTCGTGCTCTACATGTCTTTGTTTTTTACTTATTGGCTGCGACTCAAATGTTCTCCCTCTCTTGGGTGAACTGCCTTTCAATTAGCTTCATACCATAAGTGGCCCCTCTCGCTCAGTATTTTTTACCACCAAGTGCATTGAATCCGCAGTTTATGTTAAACACTGGATCAGCCATCAGCTCGTTGTAGTTAAACTGCGGATCCATGGCACTCAGTGGTGAAGAACTACTGAGTGAGACGGGTTACCTATGGTATGAAGCTAACCAAAAGGCAGCTCGCACAACGAGGGAGAACATTTGAGTCATAGCCAAGATGTAAAAAACAATGAAACGTTGAACACGAAATCGTGGCTTTGGCAATGGACTCAGCACATGTAACTAACCGCCATGATGACCATGAAACCACAAAGGAAAGGGCTGGGCGGAGATAGATGGGCGTGAGAACAGGGTGGGGAAGAGGGGAGGGGAGAGAGGCAGGGGGTGTGCATTTGAGACGCCTCATTGTAGGCTCTGCAGTGGAGAACGGTCGGATGCCACGTTTTGCAGGCTTTGCCGTGAAGAGTTGTATACCAGGCACCTCAAGAAGATTTTTTACTGCAGTTGCATGGGCGTATGTGTGCACACATGCATGTGTGTGCGCCCACCATTCCCGCATGCATATATCCAAAAAAGCCCACACACGTACGTACTTTTCCGGCAAAATGTTGACATGGTGTTGGGAAGAAGAATCAGCAGAGACCAACTTCTGGGCCAAAAACGGAGCCCCGTTCGGCTCCCCTACTGCTCGCCCTCCCCCTTGCCCCCCCCCTCGGCCTCCCCCGCGCCCATGTCCATGGCCATGGCCACGTGCGCTCCCATGTGTGTCCTCATGTGCATGTATGAGGCCATGCGTCATGCCACTCCCCTCCTCTTCTTCCTCATCTGATGTGTCATCAGGCTGAAAAGGAGGGCAGGGGATTGGCAGAAGAAACATGAGCTGGGTTTCCACTGCCTCTGTGCCCGTGTGTGTTCCCATGTGCATCCCCATGTGCATGTATGAGTCCGTGCATGATGGTGCTCTGTTCTTCCCCTTCCTCATCCCATGTGTCATCCGGCTGTAAGGAAGGGCAGGGATTTGGCAGAAGAAAGGTGTGGTGAATCTTCACAGCCTGTATGTGCACACATGTATGATGCATGATTTTTTAGATGTCTCAAATTGCACGTTCTCGTGAATGTCAACACTCCATCCCATCCTCCCATTCCTGCAGCATGTATACAAGACGTATGATGCATGAGACCGTGCTTCATAGCACTCTCATCCTCTCCACCTTGCTCACCTTCCTTGGCGATACCTCACAGCACTGTTCCTGGATAATCATACACCTATCAGCTTACTAAGTCACGTCTCACTCGAACCACTCTTCACCACTCTGCATCTCTTTCACCTCAGTTCAACCCTCTTCACCTCACTTCATCCTTCTTTGTCCCATATCCCTCGTCATCCCTCTCCATCTCTCTTCACCTCTGCTCACCGCTCTTCACCGCACCGCACCTGTCTCAGCTGGCTGTATCTGTCTCCCGTCACATGCAGCCTCTCCAGCACAGTGGACGTGCTGCCGCCCAGCAGAATCACCTGGGCAGATGGGTGTGTGGGGGGGGGGGGAAAGGGGGAAAAAAAAAGAGTCTGTTCATCTGATTGGCAAACACACAGCTGGTGGACGTGCTTCCACCAGAAGAATCACCTGGGGTTATGGGGGTGAGGAAGGAGGAGGGGAGGGGAAGAAAGGGACGAGCAAGAAAGGGAGGAGTCTGGACATCTGATTGGCAAACACACAGCTGCCCAGCACAGAGGAGGTGCTTCCACCCAGCAAAATCACCTGGAGTAACGTGAGGGGAACGGGAGGGGGCAGGGAGGGGGGAGCGGAGGGAGGGGACTTAAAGGAATTTAGCTACAGGCGAGGCGAGTATGATGATGGCGGTGGTGGTGGAGTGGGGGTGTGTGGTGTGGTGTGGTGTGGTGTGATGTGGTGGCGGTGGTGGTGGTGACGATGACAATGGTGGGTAAACCAGCCTTCCCATGCCCATCATTCCACACACAGAAGGTGATACAGGAGTAGTGCCTAAGTCAGAGCAAGTACACTGAAAGAGGAAGCAGTGCTTGCAGTGAGCATGACCATAGGAGTGGTGGTGGTGAAAATGGCCCTCCCGTGCCCGGGGTCAGGCAGGGAATAGGTGATATGGGAAGAATGCATACAGCGAACTGGAAAGAGGAGGCGTGCATACAGTGAGCATGACAATGGCAGTGGTGGTGGTGAAAATCGCCCTCCCATGGCTGTGGTTCGGCAGGTCGTGTGTTGCTTGCAAGGCCAACCCGAACGCCATGGCTCCTCGCAGACCTGAGGGTGACAGGTAGCAGCAGGGGAGGGATGGGAGAGGAGACAAGGTCCAGGCAGGGGAAGGTCACTCCGTGGTTGGGCAGGTCGTGAGTTGCTTCCAGGGGCAAACCAAGCGCCATGGCTCCTCGCAGACCTGATGGCAGGGGAGCAGGGATGAGGTGGAGTGAGATGGGGTGAGGTGGAGTGAGATGGGGTGAGATTGAAGAGCTGCAGGGAGAGGAGTGACAGTAAGTGATAGAATTGAGTGGTTGGAAGTAGAGATGAGCATTTGCCCCGCGCGGGTCGAGCCGGCCCGACCCGACCCGTGGTTTAACCCGGGTTGGGTCAGTGGTTTCACTTGCCTGCCCCGTGCGGGCCGATCCGACCCGACCTGGCCTAAAACCCGACCCGAGGATGGAACTCGGGCCGAGTCGGGTCGGGTTTCGGGTCAGGCTTGACCCGACCTGAATTCGGGTCAGGACTAGCCCGACCCGATTTCGACACGCTGGGGACGAAACCCTACGTCAAATTGTTGTCGAGGGGTTTTTTATCCCCTCAACATCAGAACCGACCCACGCTCTCAATCTTACCTAACGGCAGCAAGCAAGCAAGTCACCTAAGCTTAGAAACTACTTAGTTACAACCCGTTCAAACCTCATTTACAGGCATTTATAGCTAGTTTACTATCGTATCCTGCTGTTCATGGAAAATCGCGATGCAGGAATGGCGTTTTTTTTACAACTTCACGTTTTTTTAGCGATACTTCAATTCACAGGCTGCACGCCTCGTTTAAGGCCAGCAGTTGCTCATAGGCGCGCCAGCAACTAACATTACAGCATTTCATAGAGGTTCTTAGGGGCCGCGTGCAGGGCGTAGGGGGCGGCCGCGGGCAAAGGTGATGGCACCAGGGTATGGGCGGGTCATCCTGGCCCGACCCGACCCGACCCGTACCCGGGTCCAAGTTGACCCGAGTGTGTAGGCCCGGGTCGGGCCAGAACCTTCAGGACCATGGCCCGAGCCCGGCCCGGCCCGACCTGACCCGGGAGCCCGTGTGGCCCGGCCAGGTCGGGTCGGGTTGGGCCGGGCCGGGGTGGTTGCTCATCTCTAGTTGGAAGAGTTATAGAGGGGGGATTATGGAAAGCGGGTGATAGCAGGTTGTGATAGAGTGAGCGACAGAGAGATTTGTTTGTTTGTTTGTTGTTCTTAAGGGGGGGGGGGGGGGGGGAGGGAGAGGGAGGGAGGGGGTGTGGGGGGTGGAAAGTGGGGGAGAAGTGGGGGATGAAATACACTTTAAAATGCAAGACATCCACAGTTGTTATTGAGTGATGGAGAGAGTGAAAAAGAGAGGGCACTGACCACTGAACCAGAGTGCCTTCTGATGGCTGTCAGGTATTTGCTTGGAGGGAGGGCGGAAGAGGTTGATGAGATGCGCGCATGGAAACACATTGGCGGCTCTGATGTGGGGGTGAAAGGGAGAGGGGAGATGACGGGGGGGAGGGTGGGGGGGAATAAGGGATGAATGGGGGTAGGGAGGGTGGAAGAGGTTGACGCGATGCGCGCAGGGAAACACATTGGCGGCTCTGATGTGGGGGTTTGAGGGGGGAAAGGAGGATGAGAGTGGCGCAAGGAAATGGACTATAGAATTGGTAAAATAGACATGCTAGTTAAATGGATGTTGGCATACTGGAGTGGCAGCTGGATGGATAGGAGGGCCGAGGCCAGCAAATACATGAGAGAATACTGGCAGGCCTGCTCACTATCTTGTTATACCATCCCACCTTACTGCACTACCCCTCACCTTGCTACATCCCCTCCCACCTTTCCACACCCCCTCCCACCTTTCCACACCCCCTCCCACCTTTCCACACCCCCTCCACCTTGCTGCATCCCCCCTCACCTTGCTACGCCTATGAAGATCTGGAGGAGAGTGCGGAGGAGTTGGGAGGCATTACGATGATAAGTTGGGCATGGCCGATACGTCAACACGGCGGCGCGGCAGCAGTGAGGTGAGGCGTGGGAAGAAGCACAAAACGCGTACATGCAAAAGCACCAATCACATACACTCGCACATGCACGCACGCACGCACATGCACGCGCGCGCGCGCGCGCCCCCCCCCCCCCCCCCCCACACACACACACCCACACACACCCACACACACCCACACACACCCACACACACCCACACACACCCACACACTCACACACACCCACACGCACCCACACGCACACACGCGCGCGCACGCACGCACGCACGCACGCGCGCACACACACACACACACACACACACACACACACACATATGCACATGCATGTCACATGCGCACGCACACAGAGACAACAACACACACACAGGCATACACATGCACAGCACACAAAGAGTATAGTTGAAAGAGAGCAGCAACTAAGAGCAGTGACTAAGGTGGAAGGAACCAAACATTCTGGAAAACAAACTGGAACGCCGAAAAAGAAGCCCCCGCATACCAGCACAGTCCAGCACCCAGAATGTTTTTGTCTCACGATGCAATAGAATATGAAGCTGATGTGCCCCCACTATCCCATGCCATCCATGCCATCCATGCCAGCACATGCCATCCATGCCAGCACATGCCAGCGCATGCCAGCACACGCCAGCGCATGCCAGCACATGCCAGCGCATGCCATGGGCTCACGATGGAGAAGAAGATGAAGCTAATGTGTCCCCACCGTTGGTGCTCCCCCAGAGCAATCTCTGTACCCATGTAGATGAATCTGGAAAGGAGGGGGGATGGAGGGGGGAGAGAGGGGTCGGGACGGTGGGAAACACAGGGAATAGGCTGAGTCAGTAAGCAACTACCAGTGGTGCTCCCCCAGAGCAATCTCCGAGCTGGGGGCGGACTGCTATGAAGCGACCCTATTTTGACTCCTATTATTGGGGATATCACTCACGTGAAGGTCTCAGCAATGGAGGCGATGAGCTGGAAGAAGCCGGCAGAGAGGACCTGGGCCACCTCTGATAGGTTGGGAAAGGTGTAGCGCTTCATGAGCTGGTGAAGAGGGGGGGGAGAAGGATGGAAAGGGGTGGAGAGCGGGGAGTATGAGGGAGTGGAGAAGCGTATGGGGAGTGTGGACCAGAGAGGACCTGCGCCGCTTCTGAGAGGTTGGGAAAGGTGTATCGCTTTCATGTGCTGGTGGAGAGGGGGAAGGGAAGAGGGAGACGTGGGGAACGGGGGTATGTGGGTGGGGAGAGGGGGGGATGAGTGTTGCGGAGCACAGAGGACCTGCGCCACCTCTGATAGGTTGGGAAGGTGTATCGCTTCATGAGCTGGGAAACAAGAGGGGGAAAACGAGGGAGGCATCACATGAGATGAGACGGGTGGAGGTTACACATCTTATAGAATTCACAAAAATCGTGTGGGCCGTATCAGGCACGAACCTATGCTCATGTCTCGTAGAAGGCAACTGCGTTGCGGCAGAGAGATTGAGGGACGGAGAAGGCACGGAGGAGGACGAGGTGCAAGTGGGGGAAGAGGGGACAGGGGAGCAGCATAATACAGGCACAGGAGTGACAAGAGGGTTTAAAGCGAAAAGGAGAGGAAGTTGAACATGGCAGGCTTACAACTCCACAGAAGAGGATTTTTGAGGCGCCTCAAAAGCGAAAAGCAGAGGAAGTTGAAAACGACAGGCTTACAACTCCGCAGAAGAGGATGGCAACGATGCCTGAGAGAGCAAGTCCCTCCGCCACCAGATAGCTGGCAGGAGGCGCAGAGGGGTAGAGAGGGGCAGAGAGGGGCAGAGAGGGGCAGAGAAAACAGAGAGAACGGATAGGGGGCAAGAGCGCCATTGAGGCTAAGAGAAGAAACACAAAAGATCTTAATTGAAGATTTGTGTGTGGCTGGAGATAGGATGTTGTAACTTGTACAGAACATGTTGTATGCAGGACGCTACATGTTCTAGTACAGATCAAGCTTTTCGTACTTGGATGTTGTAACGTGCATGTCCTGTAGCCATGGGCATGGGGTCGTTATGTTGATGCGGAAATGTGAAACAGATGAAGGGATGGGGGACTCACGAAATGTAGGGAAAGAGAACAATGAGGCAGCACTCGAGGTTGTGAAGACTGTGAGGGGGGAAAAGAACGGAAGAGGGAATAAGGAGAGGAGAGGTTTGGATGGAGGGAGAGGGTGGCATACTTGATGGTGCTGGATGGAAGATGGTACATTGCAGACAGAATGTGAGGCAGCAAGCAGCAAGCAGCAAACGACAGGCTGATACAAGCCCAGAGTTCGAGCTTAGGACTCTGGAACTCTGGGAAGGAATCACTTCTTCACGGGGAGGCCGGCATACTTGATATTAAGAGTTGCTTGAAAATTGATTCAGCATTGTATGGTGCCGGATGTGAGATGGAGAGCGCAGGCAGAGAGGAACTCACTTTTTCACGGAAAGGCCGGCATACTTGAAGAGGTGCTGGATGGTACGCCATATAGAGCAGCGAGGCAGGCCACACGTAACAAACGGCGGAACGGAGTTAAGGACGGGTACCAAATAGATTCTGAGTTTGTGGCGCCTCAAAACGAGTTAGGGACGGGTACCAAATAGATTTTGAGTTGACTCAAAAAAGGGGCATGGGCAACAAGCAGAGCTAGTAAATCAACGAACAAGAGTGTGAGACACCCAGAAACACAACAGCATATATAAACGTAATGTGTGGAAAGGAGGTTGAGGTCCTGAGAAGTCTCAAAACGTGATGTGCAGACGAGGGCAGAGGAAGAGTTAAAGGAAGGTTGATAAAGGACGAGGGAAGGGAGGTTGGTGAAGGAAGAGGTGAAGGGCGTTTAGGAGGATATGAGAGCAGAGAAGAGCGCCACAGCTACACCTGCAGTGGAAAGGTGGAAAAGAGGAGAGAAGAAACGGAACAAAATGAGGTTGTGGGAAGGACAGGTTGGGTGCTGGGGTGGGGGCTACATAGAGGTGCGCCACGGAGGGGGAAAGAGAGAAAGCTAGTATTGAAGGTATGGAAAAAAAACATAGAATTATCCGTAATAATACGTAGAGAACAGCAACGATAAAATAATAATAATAATGAAATAAAGGTGGCCAAGGAAGTAAATCAACAAAGATGCAGATTGAATGAATGCATAGCATGCATGCAGTGTTTGATGGTGGAGCACACGATACACAAACCCCAACGTACGTACCAATGGAGGTGGAGCCTGCAAAGGTGATGGCGGCGTATTGGAATGCAGCAGAAATGCTCGGGTCTGCTGCAGGGTTGCGAATGATAGTCATCACAGTCCTGTGCGGTTGGAAGAGGTAGGTAGAGGAATCAGTTGGGTCTGCTGTAGGGTGGCAACTCACACACAGGGGCTGTCAGAGTCCTAGTTGAGTGATTCTGACTTAAGAAGTGGGAAAAATTTAACGACGTCTCAAAAAAAGGCATGAGATTTCAAAGACCTGTTTGATTTGATTCACTGAAAACTCACGAAGCAAAAAGAGAAAGGGAAAGGAGCAGTGTCTTACCTGTACATGGTAATCGCCACCTGCATACACAAGCATTATGTGCATGCATACACAAGCATTATGTGCATGCATACACAAGCATTATGTGCATGCATACACAAGCATTATGTGCATGCATACACAAGCATTATGTGCATGCATACATGTGAACAAAAACATGCATACACGTGCATGAATAGATGTGCACACACACATGCATAGAGGTGGATGCATACATGTGCATTCACTCGCAACCATACACATGCATTTGCATGCATGGCCACACCACATGGACATACGCAGGTGCGTGCATGCACATGCAGACATACACCAGATGAACATGCATGTGCACATGCACACAAACGCACATGGCAGCAGGCACGTGGATGCACACCGCAATAACAGAAACGTTGAGTTAACTTTTGAGAATTCTCAAAAATAAGCACAAGAACAGAAACGAAGACAAGCATTCTAGACGTGTTCACACCCACCCACCCACCCACCCACCCATCAGACGTGGCTGATGCGAACCGCCCACCCACGTACCGCGTCGCTGAGCACTGACTCGCCAAACACAAGCGTGGTGACTCTTGAGTCGACTCAAAAGGCACGACTGTGTGTGACCCACCCACCCACACACCCACCCACTTGCCTGCCCACCCACCCACTTGCCTGCCCACCCACCCACCCACCCGCCCGCCCATTCACGTACCGCGTCGTTGAGCACCGACTCGCCAAACACAAGCGCGTAGAGATTCGTGTCTGCTCCGACATCCTGACGCGATGTTTGTTGGGAACGAGGGAAAACCGAATGAAAAGGGAGGGGCGCTCGTGAGGGACGAAGGTGAAACGCGCCTCACAAGGCGTGCCCGCCCGCTCCGACATCCTAATACGGAACTAACCGCGAGCACAGCGATCAGATCAGATTAGATCAGATCAGATCAGATCAGGTCAGGTCGGTGGAGGAGATGAGGAGAGGGCTTGATAATAAGACGCCCAACTAACTAACAACATGCTCTCAGCTCAGCAGGAAATCGATTGTGAACTTCCCCAGTACCCACCTGGAAGATGGCGAGCACAGCGACCGGGTCGGTGGAGGAGATGAGGGAACCGAAGATGAGTGCTTCGAGGAAGGAGAGCTTGTACATGAGGAAGAGGAACCCGCCCACGTAGCTGCGGGGAGGAGTGGAGTGCGGTACAGAGGGGGGTGCTTTAAGGAAGGATAGCCTCGAGGAAGGAGAGCTTGTACATGAGGAAGAGGAATCCGCCCATGTAGCTGCGGGGAGGGGTGAGATGGGGCACATGGGGAGATGGAGCACATAAGAGGATGGAGGGATGTGGTAAGCGCACAGCATGAGGAAGGAGAGCTTGTACATGAGGAAGAGGAATCCGCCCATGTAGCTGCGGGGAGGGGTGAGATGGGGCACATGGGGAGATGGAGCACATAAGAGGATGGAGGGATGTGGTAAGCGCACAGCATGAGGAAGGAGAGCTTGTACATGAGGAAGAGGAATCCGCCCACGTAGCTGCACTGGGGAGAGGTGGCGCAGGAGGGTGAGTATTGCACGGGAAGAGACACGAGGCGATGACCTCAATGACAAGGGCAGAGACAGGAGCATGCCATGACAGGGTGTTCCTTGACCGATTTCTCCTTGTGAGCGAGTTTTGAGAATTCTCAAATATCGCTCACACTTCATTAGTCGGCTCACAACCCAGCCCCGCCCAGGAGCTACGACACGAGAATTCCAATGACGAAGGAGCCGATCCAGGCGAAGATGGCCATGTGCCATTTCTTCAGGCTCTTTCTAGGTGTAACACAACCCATTTCTTCAGGCTCTTTCTAGGTGTAACACAACCCATTTCTTCAGGCTCTTTCTAGGTGTAACACAACCCACCCCATCAGCACTCACACGAGGATGCCTGTGACAATGGCTGAGAGGAAGGTGCCGAGACATGCAAAGGTGACTATGGCTCCAAAGTTGTTGAAAAATGGCTTCTGTGTGTGTGACGAAGGGGGAGTGGCGTGAAGGAGAGACACACACACAGATGCACAGATGCACAGATGCACCTACAAACAAGCACGAAAGCTTGCCAGTATGACAGCCAAACATCATGACAGCATGAAAGCATGAACGCTTGAAAACACAAACATGCAAGCATCTAACCACTCACCACTTGAAGGCTGAAGCCAGACTGAGCAGAAACAGAAGAGTGCGCCATAACCATGAACAACCCTTGAGGCGCCTCACAAGTCAGCATGACAACATGCAATGAAAGTATGCAACCACGCACTCACTCACTCACTCACTCACTCACTCACTCACCACTTGAAGGCTGAAGCCAGACTCAGTGCAGGAGAGAAAGAGCGCACCATAAGCAGCCAAGCATAACCATGAACGAGTTCCCACAGGCAGGACCACGAACGAACCGCGCAGGCATGAGCGAGCAGTGAAGGTTAGTTAAGGACAACAAACATGGCCATGGGATTCTTCAGGAAGCTTTAAATGATTCAACAAAAAAGAAAAAACAACAATAACAACTGTTTCTGGGTTTGAGTGCATTGGCAAATCTACAAGAGACACGCTGAGGTTATGGAGAGAGCGTTTAAAAGGAATGGATCCCTTTCAATGGAGGAGAGTAAAAAGAGGAAGAAAAAGAAAAGAGGTTAGGCCGGAAGGAAGATTGGGCGGATATAATATGATCGGCGGAAGGAGAAAGAGCATGAAAATCTCTTCCTTGAATCCAAGCCACTCCCTGCAGTTCAGTTCAAACAAGCACACAACACAAGTAGACAGAAAAGAAAATGGCATGTTAAGGGGAAGGCCAGGGCCTCCTCATACTATAAGGGGACTGCAACTAGTCTCATGGGACAAGGGGAGTGCACGGTGCACCTAGGGAGCTCATGAGACTAGAGGAGCGAACCTACTCAATCCGCTAACTGGTGAACCTAATCGATCCGTTTGATGATGTTACATGCACTGCACCTCATCAGACGAGGACAGTTCTCAAGCTTTTGAGGAGACTGCAGCTCGTCAGTCCGTGACATTATAGCTAGCCCATTACATACATCCAGGTCACCTTTTTCACCTGACCCTTTGATTTCACAAACCTGAATTTTCACTTGAAGCTCTTCCCTCACCAAAAGCCCATATATCACTTCCCTTTCCTTCACTCCTTGTCCCCTCACCACCTGAACCTCTCCCCCCACCAACCAACCTACCCTCTCACCTGAAGCTCTCCTGGGTGCCTCGCCAGTTGCCCACGGAGCCCACCACGAGGCCTGGCGTTGGCACGCACGCACATCGAGGGATAACGCAAGGGGGGGAAATGGGGGAAATGGGGGAAATGGGGGAAATGGGGGAAATGGGGGAAATGGGGGAAATGGGGGAAATGGGGGAAAATGGAGGAGGGGGGGAGGTGAGAGGGTGGGAGGCTGCAGTTGCCCACGGAGCCCACCACGAGGCCTGGCGTTGGCATGCAGAGGGAGGGAGGAGGGGGTGAAGTGAGTGGAGGTCGCACAACTTACAACCAGCGACCAAACGGACAGAGACGCAGAGACGCAGACGCACCGATGAGCAAGGCAACGCTGCCCTCGTGGATGGAGTAGACCTAGGGGCGATCAGACGCAGACACAGAGACCCACCGAAACATAAACGCACGGCCACACAGCGGCAAGGACGCACCGATGAGCAGGGCGGCGCTGCTCTCGTGGATATAGTACGCCTTGCAGCGATCAGACGGACATAGATACACAGACTCAGAGACGGAGAGGCACACAAACGCAGAGCGGCACAGCTGCAGCGACGAAGAGACGCAAAGCTGCACAGTCGACGCACCAATGAGCAGCGCGGCGCAGCCCTCGCGGATGTAGTACACCTTGCGACCAGACGGACAGAGACGAACAGCCGCACAGCTGCCAAGACACACCGACGCACAGCTGCAGAGACGCAGTGACTCACAGACGCACCAATGAGCAGGGCGGCGCTGCCCTCGTGGATGTAGTACACCTTGCGACCAGACGGACAGAGACGCACACACGCACAGACGCAGAGACACACCGACGCACACACGCACAGCCACAGAGACACACCGACGCACTTACGCACAGACGCAGAGACACACCGACGCACACACGCACAGACAACGCACCGATTAGCAGGGCGGCGCTGCCCTCGTGGATGTAGTACACCTTGCGACGTCGCAGGATGTGTCCGACGACGAATGCGACCATGAGCATGGCGATTTGCAGCAGAATCGACAGGCTCGCGAACGCCTCCGCTTTCGTCGACGACACCGGCGGAGCTGGCGCGCCCGCCATGGCGGAGCCGTCGGCGGAAGCGGAAGGGGCAGCGGCGGGGTGCGCGGAAGCGAATAGGGGGAACTCTTTCATCTGACGACTGGAGTCGAGGAGGGGAAGGCCGAGCACACCATTGGCGCCAGGATCAACGGTGGGATCGGTGCTTAGAGCGGCCAGGAACAACATCGACGGTGGAAATCGCGACTTGGAGAATAAGCCGAGAACTAAGGCGATCTAGTCGCAACGCTTGTGAGCTACACTCCCCATCCAGAGCCTAAGCGCAGCAGTTATTTCTACAGGAAAAAAAAAAGGTTGTTTATATATTCAATAACGCCTGAAGAGAGGACGATAGCTCCCGTATCTTGGACACGCGGGGTCGGGCCGCGCCACCTAGCTCGTAACGCCGAGACGGTGAATCCGTGCGAGAGGATGTTTACAGAAACGAGACGACGAGAAAGAAGCTGAATCGGCTCAAGCTGACGACTAAAATCCGAAAGCTAGTCAGTTCGCTAACTGAAGCTAACGGACGGAGACGCGGAGGACGAGGAGTGCAAGAAACAGTCACCCTTCACCTAGAACGACTTACAAAAATCCATCAACATCAAATGAAAAGGCAGAACAGAAATTCAACGGTCAAATCCAAGTATACGAGGGGGAGGAACCGAAAGCAAGACGATGGGTTGAAAACGAGTTGACAACGATCGAAACCCGAAATAGTTACCAGCGTTGCCGAAACGATAATGGGAAATGATCAGATTGGGGCCCCGAAGCTCTAGAAAGAGTGCCAACTTGGGGCCTCGTGTTTCGCGAAGTGTCGAACCTGGTCCGGACCTGTCTCTAACCAATTTCGGGCCTCACTAACGCGCTCCGTCAGACCTGACCACACGAGGTGACGGATTTCTGAACGGACAAGCTGGCAAAAAATATAAACCCCATACGGCCATGCATTCGGTCAGGGAGGCATCAACCCTAAACACCTTGTCGCATGTGTTTAGGCTTGATGCCTCACTAATTTTATGCCTTTCGATTCGGTTTTATATTTTTTTCACACTGCGATAATGTTAAAAGTTTGGGTTATTTCGCTGAAGTATCTGTACTGCCCATTGTGAATGGGCTGACGAGGGCTCCTCCCGTCAACCAGGGTGCTAGCGAAATCCGTCAAACCCAAGCCAGCAGGTGGTGACCTGGCGAGCTCGGCCTAGCTGCCTAGGCTTGTAGGTTGCTTCGGGCCTTCTTCGTAGGGTCGCGAATCACGAGGCCCCAAGTTGGCAATCTTTCTGCTAATCCGAGGCCCCAGTATGATCATTCCCCAACGATAATCTCCCAGGCGAGTCTTGCCAAAACACCAGCAGGTTGCTTTTGGCTTCCCCTATATTCTGGAAACAGGATCTGGACCGTTCAATATTTCACTTCCCCGCGCAGATGGGAACCTCGACCTGTCGTGAACAAACGCAGCAGCACGTGCGATGACAAAGAGGAACATGATTGGTGCTCAGAAGGAGAGCACAGAAAAAGCTGACAGTCGTTATGGTAACCCCATAAAAGACTTCCCAAATCTCGATAGATTTGATTGCCTTACTTCTGAAGTTGTGCACTTCGATTTTAAACTAATTTAGTTCTTCCAGTACAGACCTGAAGGTTGGATTTCTTTTCCATAGCGTGCTTGCCTGTATCGAGGTTGCTCGACTTTGCTCCACCACCACCCTTCCCTCCGTATCTGCCGCCGTTTGCGCTCCTCCTTCCCTCCATTTGAGCAATTCCTTCTTCCCGTCATGGCCAGGAGCCGGGCGTTCAGCAATGTCGCGAGGTGGCTCGCGCTTGGCTTCACAAATCCCCAGAAATTCTCCGCACCGCCTTCGCTCCCACAGTTAGCGCCTCGCGCCGGATCTGCGACATTGGTAACTCCTCACCTCCATTTCGCCAACGACTCGCACACCGTTAGGCTGCACACTCACTCCTCGCCGGCCCTCCCTATCGTGTCTCCGAAACCCGCAACCTCCACCTCGTTACTGTCACACAATCCACCAACTCGCGTCCAACCACTGTTACTATCACATCCTCCGCTATCACGCGGATTTGCCGGGATATTAGTCGAGCTGGGTCTCGTCCCTCCCCCGCCTGACCACGGCGAAGAGGAGGCGCGGAAAAAGGAGGTAATTAAAGCCGTCCTTAGGCCCGGATCGGGCAAGATCCAAGCTAAGAAGGAGCGGCGATTAGGGAGAATACCGAGCATAGTGTTTGAGCAAGAGGATGGTCACCTGGGCGGGCGAAAACGGCTGGTGTCCGTCGATCGGAAGCAGATCGGACGGCTGGTGAAGAAGTTCGGGCGGCCGTTCTTCGTGTCGCAGGTGTTCGACCTCGAGATTTCCGCGGAGGGCGCGGAAGCGGCGGAGGGGGGAACGGCGGGAGCGGAGGGCGCGGAATCCGCGGAGGGGAAAGCGGCGGGAGCGGATGGGGGGGCGGAAGGATCAACGGTGGAGAGCGTCCGTATGAGAGTGATTCCGAAGCTGGTAAGGTTGCTTCTGAGTTTGAGTCAAGGATAACAGTCAAACAAATAGATGTTTTGGAGAAACAGGAGGCAGGTAAAGCTTACATTGGGGCGTACGCGGTTCGTGATTCATATGGGAGAGGAAAGTGTTTTGTGTTTCTTTAGGAATACCTTACCCGTGTGTGTCTTGCCTCGTCCTGGCTCTTATTTAAACCCGCATTTCCATTTCCACCCTTCTCCACTTCTTTCCCCCCATTTCTTCCTCCTTATCTTTCCTCCATTCCTCCATTTTCATTTCGAAGCTTCACCCCCTTCTTGTCCCCGCGCTGGCAGATGCGCGCCTTTCCCACATCCGCCACTCATCCTTCCCCTTTCCTCCCCCCATCCTTTCTCCGTCCTCCCCCCGTCCTTCCCCTATCCTTGCCCCGTTGCCGTTTCTCCCCCAGGTGCACTCGCATGGAGGCACGGGCAAGATTATCACCGTGACTCCCCTAAGCCCCACAGTTCCCCCCCCTGTTCCCCCCAATCCTCCCCCCATCCTCCCCCCATCCTTCCCCCAATCCTCTTCCCACCCTGCCCCAATCCTCCCCCAGGTGCACTGGCATGGAGCTACGGACGAGATTCCCAATCTGACTCCCCTGAGCCCCACAACCTCCTCCCTCTACTCCCCCCATCCTCCCCCCATCCTCCCCCCATCCTTCCCCCATCCTCCCCTCATCCTTCCCCCATCCTCCCCCCATCCTTCCCCCATCCTCCCCCCATCCTTCCCCCATCCTCCCCCCCCTTCCCCCATCCTCCCCCCATCCTCCCCCCATCCTCCCGTCCCAGGTGCACGGGCATGGAGCCACGGGCGAGATTCTCAACGTGACCTTTCACCAACTATCTTCCCCCCTGTTTGCCCTATCCTGCCCCCATGCTTCTGCCTGTGCCTCTTGTCTCTGCAGGTGCACTGGCATGGAGCCACGGACGAGATTCTCAACGTGACCTTTCTCAAGCTGCCCGAACGCGAAAGTGCGCGAGTTAAAGTGCCCGTGCCATTGGTGTTTGTGGGCGAGGATGCCTGCCCGGGCATAAGGAAAGGTTAGTGGAGCATGGCATGGCAATGGCATGGCATAGCTATGGCGTGGCATGCAATGGCGTGGCAGAGCAGGGCAGGGCACAGTCTAGCATGGCATGGCATGGCAGGACAGGGCAGGGCACAGTATAGCGTGGCATGTTTTGGCATGGTATGGCATGGTATGGTATGGTTCAATCATCTGCCGTGCCATTGGTGTTTGTGGGCGAGGACGCCTGCCCGGGCATTAGAAAAGGTTAGTGAGGCATGACAAGGCAATAGAAGGGCAGGTAAGGGCGGGGTAGGGGCATGGCGTGGGATGGTTTGGTATGGGATGGTTTGGTATGGGATGGTATGCCATGACATGGTTAAGTATGGTTTGGTATGGGATGGTATGCCATGACATGGTTAAGTATGGTTTGGTATGGGATGGTATGCCATGACATGGTTAAGTATGGTTTGGTATGGGATGGTATGCCATGACATGGTTAAGTATGGTTTGGTATGGTATGGGATGTGTGCATTCCAAACCTTTTTGCCCCATATCCCGTCTTCCCGAGGATGTTTGTTGCTTCCTGCTCTCCACCATGCATCTTTTAAATCTGTAGCGGCAGTTCCTCCCTTCTCCCCGTCCACAGGTGGTTGGCTCAACACCATGCGTCGCTCCCTCCCCTTCTCTTGTGCTTCGCCTCTATTCCTTTAGTTCCTTCAAATGTTTCTTCTAGTTCCTTCTAATGTGAATCTCTTCTCCTTCAACCCCCCCATCTCCCCTGCCAGGCGGTTGGCTTTACACCATGCGCCGCACTCCGCTGCTTCTCCCATTTTCCAGTGCTCTACAGTCCTTAATTCCTCCCACTATGAATCTGTTCTCCTTCGTCCGCCCCACCTCTCTTCCAGGAGGTTGGCTCTACACCATGCGTCGCACTCTCCCGTTCTCCTGCCCGCCCTCCGCCATCCCCCCATTCGTCGAAGTCGATCTCTCAGCGTTGGATGTGGGCCACAAGATCACCCTTGCTGACGTGGCAAGGCAGGTGGATCCACGGCTCAGATTGCTCCTGGCAGATGTGTCTCATCCCGTCTGCAAGATAGCTGGCAGCAGGTCATTGGCCAAGGAGGCAACGCCTGCATAACACACCACACCATACATGCTATGAACAATAAACTAGGAATCCTGTGCTTGCTGCATAGAGCTTTGAGCATGCCGGAATAAGCTTGGAGAAGCCATTGGAATGTTCATTTTGGGGCGTATGGTACGATACGTGGTTACAATTGTTACCTTGTAGCAGGGCTCAAGCCACAGCTATCACATGAGGAACTCCTGTTTCGATCAGCACAAGCAGACCCTGCTGCATCAGCAGGTTGTCGTTGAGAAAGCTGATGGGAGCGAACCCTACAATGGGGATGACGTGTCTCTCAAACCTCTTTTCTCTACTGATCAAATCATATCCCATCTACCAGTACTACAAAGGCAGATTGATATTACGGTACAAAAGAGATTCCTGATTCGCAATCAGCACGAGCAGGCTCTGCTGCCCCAGCAGGATCTTGTCGGGAAAGCTGATGAGTCCCAGCCACACAATGGGGGCGATGTCTTGTACACTTGACTCTCAAACTTCCTCTTCTCAACTGAAATCTCATCTATCACAGCAGAGAGAATATATCACAAGAGGGACTCCTGATTTGCAATCAAAACAAGGAGCCCCTGCTGCCCGAGCAAGATCTCGTTGAGAAAGCTGATGAGCGCAAGCCACACAATGGGGGCGATGTCAACCCCTCCAATGGGCTGGATGATGGCTCTGGTGATGCGGAGAATGGGCTCCGTGGGTGCATAGGCGATTATGAACGGGAACTCCGACACTGGGAGCTGGAGGGGGGAGGGGGGAGGGGGTGGGGGAGTACACAGAGAAACGTATGGGGCAGGAGGGGAAAGGGAGAAGGGTGGAGGGTGTGGAAAGGTTGATCGCACACACAGCAGGTGGGTTGAACGTCGAAAACCCCCCGATGGGCTGGATGAGGGCTCTGGTGATGCGGGGAATGGGAACTCCGACACTGGAAGGTTGAAGGGGACTTCTGAGATTTGTCAAATGTGACTGCTGGTGCGCTGGAGGGATGCAAATGCGGCCTGCTGCTGCTGATACATGGGTGATGATGGACTGGCGGGAGTTGTAAACTGGCCATGCTGATGCTAGAAGGGTTATTTTTGCAACGTCTCAAAAAATAGCCTCGCGGAATGGGGAGGAATGGGGATAGGCACCATCATCACGGCACCATCATTATGACATCATCATGACATCATTCTGACATCATCGCGACATCATTATGACATCATCATTGCATGCTATACTGCGTACCCGCCACATTTGCCGTTACAAGATTCGCTCCTCCTTATAGTGACACCTGAGGGTTCCATGACACGACCATGCGGAGGATAATATAACCCTTCCTCCCTCCCTGTACTTACACATGAACATATGCCTTGACAGCATCATTACACGCAACCTCCCTATAGTCACACCCACTTGGGGTTACCATGACATGACAATGCGGTGGATAAAGAACAACCCTAGCTCACACGGTCATTGCATACAGTCACATCACACATACCATGACACCACCCCTTTCTTATAGTCACACATACCATGACACCACCCCCTCCTTACAGTCACGCATACCATGACACCCCCCCCCCTCCTTACAGTCAAACCCACCGTGACACCACCCCCTCCTTACAGTCACATCCCACCTGGGGGTACCACGACATGACGATGCGGAGGATGAAGAGGAAGTTAAGCGCCGCAAATAGCGGGCCCAATACGGCGCCCACAGCTGACGCCGCATCCGGCGAAATCTCCGCAATTACCGCCGCGCTTTGCGCTACTGATGCAAAGCCCTCGAGTGACCCCGCAGACGCCGTCGGCGCAAGGAAAAGAGAAGCAGAAAAAGCGGCGGCAGTCGCGGCGGTGATTATCGAGAGGGAATCGGACGGCGCTTGCTGGTTATCGGCTTCGCTCGCGACGTCACGATGCCGTTGGATCAGTGATCGGACGGTCAGCGATCTGCATGACAGCCCTCGACGTCGCGACGCCGAAGAGAGGGTAACATGCGCCGAACGATTCGCAAATAATGAAACTTGTAGAAGCCGCCGTTTAACGGACGACTTTCGAGTCGGCTCAAAAGCTGGCTGAAGGGCACAGGGGACCTTCGAGCGACAATGCGAGGTCGACATCGAAAGCCCGCGAGCTGCAGAGGCCATTTCTTGAAAAATATATTTATAACCTACGCGCGTAAGGCCTGGCGACCACGGTCTGTGCAGCAGCTAGCGGCGGTGCGCTCCTATCTACAAACTATTGGTGGGGTTGGGCACTCACTTTGCGGTGCTGCGTTGGCTTTAACGTAAGATAAAATTCATTCATGAATGCACAACGAATTACACAACGAAGTCAACGAGAAAATTTTAGGTTCGGGAAACCCCAGAGACAGGTTCGGTGGGGAAATCGAGAACCAATCGCTTCAAAACCCACTCAAAACTTTCGACCAATCACACGAAAGTGGTGACAGTTTTGGGGCCGACACGGTAATTCTGGTTGTGTCCTTTAAACTTAAAACCACACATAGAGGATATCGAGGATGCGTGTGACGTGTGACGTGTTACTCTCGAAAGGCTATCGCTTACCGAAGCCAGATTTTCAGAGGCGAAGGTGGTGTTGGCGCACGAAATGTTTGGATCTCGCGCTGACAAGTTTGTTCTCGACTTAGACCATACGAATTCTTCGCGACAATGGTTCGGAATATTTCGTTACGTGATGGCGGTGTTCTTTATCGCAACCAATAATTTCTCTTCTCAAAATCCCCGCCCAGTAGGCAAGCAGCACTCCTACACCCCAGCGCTGCACCCCATCATGATCCATCCTGCTGGTCGTTTCCTTGGAACCACCGCGGTGCGACAACACCAAGATCATGGTAGATGCTCGGGCATCGGCTCGCGCTCCGCGCATATCGCGCGCATCGGGCAGTCGGCAATGGGTGTGTAAAAGTATTGGCGGGCTCGCCGTGCTGCTGCTTTTCTGCGCGGCGTTGCTCGAGCCGCGTCAGCGCCCCGCCTTCAAGGTGAAGTTCACCACACGGACAAGGCTCGCTGCGTTGGAGTTTCTTTCGAGAATTCTCAAGAGGAACTCCATCTTGCCGTGCTGTTGCTCTTCTGCGCGGCGTTGCTCGATCTGGGTCTGCCACCGCACCGCAGCGGGACTAGTTTCCGGACGAATGAGATTGAGCCATGGCGAACGCGGTGCGATCTCGAGACGCGATGAGCGCCCGCGCTAGTAACGCAATGCTCGCCCGCGCTAGTGCCGCCAGTGCAATGCGGCGCTGATCTGCCGTCGTCCTTGCACTGACCGTCTCTATCAGCCCGCGTCCCAATCATTCAGGTCGTTCTGAGAGTCACAGTCAAAGTTTGACTGTGACTCTCTACTTGCCGCTGTGAGCAGCGACTCTCTACTCACAGACAAAGCTTTGACTGAGAGAGCAGTGACTCTCTACTCACAGACAAAGCTTTGACTGAGCGAGCAGTGACTCTCTACTCACAGACAAAGCTTTGACTGAGAGCAGTGACTCTCTACTCACAGGCAAAGCTTTGACTGAGAGAGCAGTGACTCTCTACTCACAGACAAAGCTTTGACTGAGAGAGCAGTGACTCTCTACTCACAAACAAAGCTTTGACTGAGAGAGCAGTGACTCTCTACTCACAAACAAAGCTTTGACTGAGAGAGCAGTGACTATATACTCATAGACAAAGCTATGACTGAGAGAGTAGTGACTCTCTACTTGCCGCTGTCGGATTGTCGTCATCCCTCGTTTCTCCAGCGCGCTCATTTTCCTTTTGAGACGTCTCAATACCCGCATGCTCACGCTCATTTTCTCGTGATCTAGGTCGCCCTCATTCCGTGCGACTCACGCTACATAGTCAGGAGTGTGCAACCGTTTGTTATGGTACTCGGCAGGAGGACACCACGGGATTGGATTCGGGCAGAGCAGACATTCCCAAGGCAGACATGCCACTCAAAAATTGTCCAGAGCTTGCAAAGCGACTGTTGAGGCCTTAGGGTCTCAAGTAGACCGAGTGCTTTGCAGTCGATGAAAAGAAGGCCTGTCTGATTGGTTTACAATTTTGGGGGCCAAAGTTTTGTCAAATCAAGACTCGCCAAAGAACCCACTTTTCACCCAAGTGCTTTGCAGCTGCACGGCCAATCCGTACATGAGACCCTGGCTTTAAAGAGCGTGCAAATCGTTTACTGTCATACTTGGCAGGAGGGCGGCGCGGGGTTGGATCCGAGCAGAGCAGACATTCCCAAGGCAGGCCTGCCTCTCAACGACAAGGAGCTTTCGTCACTCAGGTCCCACCACCCTATCCTTGTCCGCCCACCCCATCCCGTTCCGTCCGCCCCATCCCAGTTGGTCCTCGCCATCCACGTGGGTGGGTGGGAGTCACTCATGATTTTGAGCCCGACTGATTGAGGTTATTTTCTATGCACCTAAAAAATAACATGGGAGTCACTGTTGATTCTTGAGCCCGACTCAAAAATCACCCCCGTCCCCGTTCATCCGTGCCATCCATGTGGGAGTCACTTTTGAGCATGTGCAAAAGTCTTCCGTCTTGTCCCCCATCCATCCCACTCTTCGTTTGCTGATTCCTCCCTTCCTCTCCCGGCCTGTGTGGACCTTTTTTGAGACGTCTCAAAAGCAATCTTCTTTCACGTGCTTCATAAATCAAATCTGATGCACAGAATTCGCTGCCGCCTGTCCCTACTCTTCCACCCTCCCTCACCGCTCCAACCCACCCTCTCCGCACCCCCTCTCGCGGTCAACCCCTCTCAACCCCTCGTGACCACGTATCGGCAGCAGCAGCACGAGTGGAGCATCAAACGAAGCACCAAGTGCGTCGACTGCTGCCCAAGACCACATCTGCTGGTCCTCAGGTACCCCCTCCTCCACTGCTTCCCGAGATCACATCGCATGATGCATCTTTATTCGACAGGTGTGAATCCTTTGGAGCCGAAACAAGTGTGCCTAGTTGATAGAGTTGGTTAAAGTGAGTGGTACTCTCGTGGTTAATTTTTATTGTTATTATTTCAGGTGACTGTTGTCTTTTCCTAAAGGAGCCTGGGGCAGTGTTATTGAAAAGTCTCAAAAGTCACTTGCCTATCACTGGATGTTTTTTTTTTTTTTTTTTTTTTTCTCTTGCAATGCCTGACTGCCAAATTGCCTGTCTCGTTGCTTCACCTGGAGCAGCATAAAAGGCGGAGGTAGTAGGAGGGGCGTCATCATGGTATGAGGGGCGTCATCATGGTATGAGGGGCGTCATCATGGTAGGAGGGGCGTCATCATGGTATGAGGGGCGTCATCATGGTATGAGGGGCGTCATCATGGTATGAGGGGCGTCATCATGGTATGAGGGGCGTCATCATGGTATGAGGGGCGTCATCATGGTATGAGGGGCGTCATCATGGTATGAGGGGCGTCATCATGGTATGAGGGGCTTCATCATGGTATGAGGGGCGTCATCATGGTATGAGGGGCGTCATCATGGTATGAGGGGCGTCATCATGGTACGAGGGGCGTCATCATGGTATGAGGGGCATCATCATGGTATGAGGGGCGTCATCATGGTATGAGGGGCGTCATCATGGTATGAGGGGCGTCATCATGGTATGAGGCGGTTAAAAAAGAGGTATTATGAGTACACACTCCTCTGTACCCCCAACCCCTCACCCCAACATGTCGCAGATTCCCTCGTCAGCAGCAGCACGCCAGGAGCAGCAGCAGCAGCAGCAGCAGCAGCAGCAGCAGCAGCAGCAGCAGCAGCAGCAGCAGCAGCAGCAGCAGCAGCAGCAGCAGCAGCAGCAGCAGCAGGAGCGGGAAGAGCAGGAGCAGGAGGAGGGGTGGTGGTGAGCGGTAAAGGATGCAGTGGGTGCATGCAGGGGGAAGAGTGCAGCATACACGTGTGGGTGAGACCGCCTGCTCACTGGTTCGTGCCCTTCTCAACCAAGCAGAGTAGCAAGGAAGGAAATGAGAACAACAGCAGCAGCAGCAGCAGCAACAGCAGCAGTTGGCTGACGAACGATCTGACTCTCTCTCTGGAGGGCCCGGCGTTGGGTGGTGGCGACGTGCTGTGTCTTGACCCCCCTGCCTGCTCGCACCTCCTTGTCTCCTACCGCCTCTGGGACGTGGGCACCTACAGGTAGGCGCCTCTATGCTCCTCTCGTCCCTCTCGTTGGGTGGTGGTGGCGAGTCGCTACGTGCTGTGCTGTGATGCCCCTGCCTGCTCGCACCTCCTTGTCTCCTACCGCCTCTGGGACGTGGGCACCTACAGGTGTGGAGAACGGTGCAGTGCGGTGCAGGTGCTGGGATTTGGGTGTACCGGTTTCCACTTTCCCACTCACCCCTTCTCACTCACCCCTCTCACCCTCTTCCTCGCTCACTCGCTTTCCCCATGAGAGCGGCATTCTCTTTGTGAGCTGTGCCATTCCTTCACTCTCACCCTTTCCCACTCATCCCTTCACACTCACCTCTTCTCTTCCCACTCACCCCTTCGCACTCACCGCTTCCCACTCTCTTTCACCACTCCTCACCACTCCTCACGTACCTCTTCGCCCCACACCAAACCACTCTTCACGTGGGCTGCGCCATTCTCTCACATTCCCACTCACCCGTTTCCCACTCTCTTTCACCCTCCTCACTCACCCACTCGCTTTCCTCACCCACTCGCTTTCCTCACCCACTCGCTTTCCTCACCCACTCGTCCCATACCAGAGCCACTCTCTACGTGGGATGCTCCAATCTCGACTTCTTTCAAAACCTCGCCCTTTCCCACCCTCTTTCACCCTCCTCACCCATCCCCACTCTCGCTCACCCTCCTCACCTTTTCCCACTTTCATTCACCCACCTGCTCGCCCCACACCAGAGCCTCTCTCCACGTGGGCTGCGCTAATATCAACTTCTCGCCAAACTTCGCCGCCCATTTCAAATCCACCGTCCGCCACGACCTTGCGACGTGGAGCCTCTCTATTGGGGAATCCAATGCCATGACGTCAGCAACCACCTCCCCAGATAACACCTCCCCCAGCAGCCTTGCGTCTCCGTGCAAGCGTGGCTCGATCCCTGGTCGGTGGAAGAAGGATGACAGGGGCAATTACATGTGAGTGGCTCTTCTTACATGCAAGAGATTCAGTGTTCGTAATGTTGTGCGACTGTTTACAGTGACTTTTAAGTCGACTGAAAAGTCAACTCTTTTTGCGCGTGAGTGATTCTGTGTTTGTAACCTAGTGTGACTGGTACAGCGGCTTTTGAGTCGACTCAACAGTCAACTCTCTTACACGTGAGTGAGTCCGTGTTTGCAACCCGATGGGTGTGACTCTTTCAGTGAGTGATCTACGGAACCCAGTTCAGTGCAAAGTTTGATTTGCCTACCGAAACAAACCCACTTGCGTCTCCCCATACTGTGTTGAGTGACTGGTGCCGTTCCCAGGTCTGAGATGCAACATGCTCTCTCTCAAGTGCACAAAGCTCAGCTCATTCACTTCCTCTTATCTCCCCTCCATTCCTTCCTTCCTTCCCCTCCCCCTCATTCACTCACCCCTCCCCTCCCCACTCCCCTCTAGCTGGGCTCTCTTCCCCTGTGCGCCACCAGAAACGCCTCCCAGCCGTTGGATCGCGGATCTGCGATCCAAGGGCATACGCGAGATGAACATCGTGGGGGACTCGCATCAGAGGGGACTGGCACGGCACCTGCACTACCTGCTCTCGGGGAACACGGACAGGAAGACATTTAAAGCCCGCTCCAACTTTGTACTGGTGTCGAGCAACGAGCGGGGAGAGAGCATGCAGATTAATGTGTACTGGATTGATGGGATCTACCAAAATGGGGAGTTTGGGTGCAGGTGAGTGTGCATGTATGGGGGGGGAACCTGGGTGTTTTGAGTCAATTCAAAGAACAAGTGGGAGGCAAGGATGCAAATCAATGTGTTATGAATCAATTGGGTCTACCACATTTGGGAGCTCGGGTGCAGGTGAGTGCGGCCGTGGGTGTGTTGGACCACACGCCCACCACCTATATGTGTGGCCGTGGGTGTGTAGAGACGACACAAATAGGGGTGTGGTCTCTACAGCAATCATCAGGGGTGCATGCATGCATGCTTGTGATCTCTCTTTCAAACCACCCTCTCATTTCCCCACTTTTCCCCCTTTCCGTCCTTCCTTCCTTTCCTTTCCTTCACCTCCCCCTATCTCAAACACCCGGCAGTCACAGGGGTATGTACAGCAATCTCACTGCACTCCCCACCAACCTCTCCCCAACAGCTGTCGTCACTATCCTCAACGCAGGCGAGTGGGCGAATCGCTTCTACGCAGAGCCGGTCAAAGCCATACGCGCCCACCTCCCAGAGTTCCTCAACTGGGGATTGCATGCGTGTTGTGACCTCCCTTTCTAACCACCATCGCATTTCCGTCCTTCCTTGACCCCCCCCTCCCTCCCCTCTCAAACACCCGGCAGTCATAGGGGTATGTACAGCAATCTCACCGCACTCCCCAACAACCTCTCTCTCACGGCTGATGTTACAATCCTCAACGCAGGCGAGTGGGCAAATCGCTTCTGTGCAGAGCCGGTCAAAGCCATACGCGCCCACCTCCCAGAGTTCCTCAACTGGGGGTTGCAGTTCGCCGCCCGAACCGGCAAGCCACTAATAATGCGGACGGCGACTCCTGTCCCCAATGGAGGGGACCACTGCGCTCGATTCGTGGGCTCTGAGTTCTCCGCCGGCCCGTCGACCAATCTCGGGCTTATGGAGATAAATCGGCTAATTCGGTCGCTCGCTGCTGGTGGAAATCAAGGTGCTAGTACCGGTAATGAAGCTGGTTACAAAGGAGTAGATGCTGATTCGGCTGTGCAATGGGATGAAGCATCGATATCACAAGCCTTCACGGTAGATCGAGGGAATTCAGAGAAGCTGGCGGTATCGTCTGTGCCGGTATTCGATGCGTGGAAGATTGAAGCGCCCCGTTATATGGACAATTGCCCGCATGGAAACCGGCATTACTCATGTTTCTATCAGCCGTACTTTTGGAGTAAGCCTGAGGTACGAGGGGTGGTGGGGGAGGCTGTGGTGCGCTCATTTGTACACTTTTTGCTCCACGAGCTATAAAGTTTTCAATTGATACACAACAAGCTTTTCTCTACGTTGTGATGCGGTACTGTCACATTTGTGCTTAGGGTGAGGTAAGGCGGTCACTAAACAAGAACAAACGAAGGCAGAGCAGACACTACTAGACGCTGGCAGTCGAATGAACGTACTGGATGGTATGGCTTGGGCTGTACGCGATGCAGTACAACCCGAGTAATGGAAACATATTTTCAACCCATACGAAGGCTGGGAATGTAAACCGTAGGAAACCTTGCAGCGAAGCAACCGTTTGAAATTTCTTTCGCCACAGTTGCGAAAAGGGCCAGGCCTACACCAACTTTTCCGCTTCTGTAGTGCATGCATCCATCCATTCTGTGATCCTGCCCGCGTCCTCCGTGGCACTGGGTGCGCGCAGGCCTGGCTGTTTGCCGTGGTGTGGTGTGGAGCAGGGCTATTGCTAGGATTTTTGCTAGCTCGGACGATCCGGGCCCCTGTGAAAAAGACCCTGTAAAATACGAGCCAGCAGGAAAAAAACCTTCACGAATCCGGGTTCGTGCCAGATAAGGCCTGAAAACTACCTACCAGAATCTCACGGAATGGGGAAATGATCGTGAAACTCACAGTGGGTGGCACGAAGGCTGGGAAGGTTGGAGATTTAAGAGCGGCACTAGAGGGGGGGAGCGAGACTTTCTGTCGACTTAAAAATGTTTATATGTGGAGGAGTACTACTTCTTGCCACGTCAAAGCAGTACCGGAAATCAAACACCTGAAGGCCAAACCAGGAGCGAATGCCAAGGATATTCACTGAAAGTGGCCTATGCATTGTACACGGGGAGAGGGAGGGGATGCGAAGTAGTTCGAGGATATAAGTGCTGCTAAAACTATCCGGGTCCCCTCAAAAACATCCCGGAGTGATCCGAGTGGGCTCGAAAATCACCCTTCAGGTTTACGGGCTGGTCCGAAAATCACCTTGTGAAAATCAGGGCTGCTCTAAAAATCACCTTATAATTTCAGTCAAAACAGGGTAATTGCCCTGATAACATAGGCCCTGGTGTGGAGTGGACAAGTGCGCGCGGGGGCACTTCCAGCTGGCGCGGAGAAAATCTGTTTCTTGGCACATGCGGTATTTCGTGAACTTCACGTGGGGGGGCGTGATCGCATTTAATTTGATTCCCACATCCAGCAGCTCGACCACTCGTATTCCATATCTCCAATCCAATCCGACCGTTCCAACGTGACGGACGATTCGCGCCGGATGGCGATTCCGTTTGGAGAATGCTCCTCCTTCCTGCATTCATGCATGCAGCGAGGCCCGACCAGAACCATGGTGAAGCAGCGCGGTCGGTGGTCTGGTCGGTTGGGTTTGGGAAGAATCGGTCTGCTCTGATAAATTTGTATTCTGCTTGAACCTGAGTCTCTGTAAATAAATGAGTTACATTTCGCAAGCTTTCTTGTTTCCGCTCCCCATTCGCTCCGCTCAAACCCTTTTCTCCACATGACAACATACACCTTTAAGTCCACAATGAGCGCAATTGTGCTCCTCAATTTCTCCTGGAAGGTCCCCCTTTACTGTATTTGACATGCTACTTGCATGCTCGCTTGGATGTCGTTGACGCGGTTCATTATGTAGCGAACTTGCACTAGCAATCCGCTGGCACTGAGCTGTCAGCCAGCATCCCGTGTACAGTTGCTCGCCTTGTGGTGGTTGTCTGCACGGATTTCGATTGAACCCTTGGATGTGCCCTCGCGAGCTTTTATCGATTTGGTCCTCTTCATTCCCACCCAACTAGACGCAAAATTCGCAAAACTAACTGTTCTTCACACACACAGCCAAACTTAATGAAGTGTTCGAGCAGCATTAATCCTTACAGTTTTAATGAGAGTACCATTGAAAATAATCATTTTCCAGCCCGTTCGTTTTGGTGGGGCACATGGGATTCGCCTCATGCAACAAACAGAATCCCGCGTCAAGCAGCCCCGCACAAAACACGTCACACGACACGACACGAGGCCCACCCTTGCTCACTCCCGCGATCATGGCCATTAATGGTGATGTAACCAACGATCCATGATCGTCCAGATCGGAGCTTTCCGATTTGAACGTCCCCCTTGGCGCCAAGCACTCGACTCCACACCGCCACCACACCACACCACACCCCCTCGATGCCTCCACGCGCTCCACTGTCCAGCACGACCACGAGCCCAGCTCTCGTTCCGCCACATAGGACCAAACCAGACTCTTCGGGCTTATCGCATCGCATCGCATCTCCTCATATTATTCTCCCGCCGAAACATGGAAACTGCTGCCAAACCCCAAGAGCCCCCCCACACTTTCCTCCCTCCGACATCACCCCCTCCCACCCACTCCCCCACCCCCCCTGCGTACCCCATCTGATCATCCATCCACGAATCACCACCACCAGTCGTTTCGTTTGCCTCCCCTCGAGAGTCGAGTCCCCTCCCTCCACTCCCCTGAGCTCCCTTGCTTGACCCCCCTACCGCCCGCTTCGTCTCCCCCCCCCCTCCACTCCCCCTGTCCCATTGGACAACCAGTAGCAGCCCCGATGACGTCCAGCATAAAACACCTGCAAGGAAGTTTTTTCGTCATCAACGTGTCTCCTTCGTCTCATCTCACATACAGACTCCGTGCGATCCAGCATAAGACCAAGGCTAGCTAGGATTCCAACACACGATCCCTCATTCGCAAACAGTTCCAGTTACGCAGACTTTCTGACGCTTTTCGCAAGACATCATGGAGCTCGAAGCACTCGAAAGCAAGCTGCACCTTCTGGACCTTCACCGCCAGCTCAGCGCCGTCCACTGCCAAAACTTCATTCGCAGCCTCGAGTCGTCTCTCGCCGAATGCGCCACGCAATCAGATCGCGCCGCTTCTCTCGACGCGGAGGATGACGAGTTCTGCGCGGAGAGAGCCGTCGAGATGTCCTCGCCACACGTCTGCTCGCGAGGCGAAGACGCCGCGTGGGATTTTATCAGCAGCAGCTGGAGCAGCGGTAGCAGCACCAGCAGCAGCAGCTCCTCTACTAGCTGGCAAGCGGATCTGAGCTTTTACGACGAGTCCGCGCCGGTCACTCGCTCGCACTCGCACTCTCACTCGCACTTCCATTCGACGAAAGGCTCGAGACGCAGCAGCACTGGCCCGAAGCAGCACGTCCGCTCGACGGCGTCGTCCCCGCGCGCACACGCGCCGAGAAGCAGCCTCCGCCGCCACTCGAGTCTCAACACCGACGCGGCGAAATTATTTTCGTGAACGTCGGCCTGAAATAATCATCGTTTTCGATCGTGCATCAGCGGTAATCGGTCTGCGCGCGCAACCGCACAGAAGAGCAGCCTCCGCCATCGTTCGAGCATTTTCGACATTGACTAGGTCGGACTTTCAAAAGACACGGACATGGGATACTAACCCTAAGCCGCGAATCACGCGGGCCTCGCTCCAGGCCCTACAACCGGCGAGCTCGTCGCAAGCTAAGATCGAGTTTCGCACACTGACACGTCTGCTGAACAGCTTGTACAGCATTATGCGCTTGATTTGCTAGCCTGAGATCCGGCGGTGCTCGCGGATCCGGTGCGCGACCTAATTTTGTAGATCTGGTGACTCCATCTAGAGTCCAACCTAGGTTGTGGATATAGTGAATATGTCAGTGTACCTATCTGACCAATTACGAACATCTAATATGAATTTTCTCAATATTAAAGGTTTGGGACTCTTCACAATTCATGTGACTTCTCAGACTAAGTTCAAGAAAGAAGGAAAATGGTTTGCAAGGGAGAAACACCTCTCCAGTATCACATCCAGCTTGCTCAACTTGTTTTGTTGTCTTAGAGGCATTGTTTCACCATTATCATCACCCTCATCCTTGTCGCTAACTGACTGAACACACAATTAGATCACGGCAGGAGGAAGCCATCAACTTGGTGGGAGCTTGGTGGTGGGAGCTGGAGGTTGGTCCTGTTTTAGCACAGCAGTTAAATTGAAAGCACCACCACTGCTACCGCCCCCATAACCATCACCATCATCCCACTACATTCACCACCACCTTAGCACGCATCGAGGTCACGGCAGGGCGGCGGCTTGATCTTGCCAGTCAGTGTGGTGGGGCCACCCTCTGGAGCACAGCGAATGCGATTCGGAATCTGAGGACCCGCCTGGGGTGGGCGGGGCAGCAGAGAGGAAGGGGGCGAGGGAGGAGAGGAGGGGGGTTAGGGCCGCGAAAGGGATTCCAGATGCTCTGTGAAAGTGGGGCGAGAGGGGGCTCGATGCCGGCAGTTGGGGTGGTGGTGGGGTGTCAGAAGCAGACAGGTGGACTGCAAAGGCCTTATTCCCATCAACTCTTGCTGTATTAGGACGAAATTCTGAAAGTGCCCGGGTCAATGTCTGCGGTTGGGGTGGTGGGGTGGGTCCACCCTCTGGAGCACCGCGAATGCGACTCGGAATCTGGGGACCTGCCTGGTAAGAATGGGGCAGAGGATGGGTGTGGAGGGGAGGGCAGACCACCCTTCCCACCTCTACCCTCCTCTGTCTACCCTCCCCTCCAACCAATACCCTCCACTGTCTACCCTCCCCTCCAATACCCTCCACTGTCTACCCTCCCCTCCACTACCCTCCTCTGTCTACCCTCCCCTCCACTACCCTCCTCTGTCTACTCTCCCCTCCACTACCCTCCTCTGTTCTGTCTACCCTCCCCTCCACTACCCTCCTCTGTCTACCCTCCGAGTCATTCTCCCCCAGTCAAGCACCTGTAGTGAGAATGACCCAGTCAAGCCCGTTACGACCGTACCTTGGGCTTCTCCCCTCGCCGGAGTGCCTCCACTATCGCCACTACAGACTCGGGAGTGAGGTCCTCCTGGTGTGGTGTGGTGTGGTGTGAGCCACACAGGCAGATAGACCACAGGGGAGATGGAAAGCGGGAGTAGAAGTTTAAACCAAGAACAATCATAAGATATGACTTGACTAATAAAATGCAAATCCTAATGTTACGTCGAGTCGACCTTAAAGGGAACAA